TGTGGCTGCACTGTAACGGCAAACTTTCTCTTCAGAATTCTAGAAATAAAAGGCATTCGGCTTTGTAGACATCGATATTAACATGAGAAAGTTTGAACTTGAAGGTGTTAATGTAATTTCAAAACATCACACCTTCCTCAACAAACCGAAACAAAGGCATGCTCGCGAGTCGGGAATAACACCCCTTGCGCATTGTGTTTTGAATTGGAGCATTGTTACGAGTTGCGGACAGCGCTTTGCGCTTTTAACAATCAGCAACTAACACCCGAAGACAGTAGTTGGGTGTCAACATCTTTTAGTGATGATTGCTCATTTGGAAGCCCTCATGTTCCTTTTAACAACTCTTTCTACTTGCATATGGGTATAAAACGTGTGACAATTGGATACCAGTCAACTCCTAATTATTTCTTGCCTTTATACAAATCGACTCAAAGACTTTGATAATTATAACTAATGATAATGTAATTTCTTTTTAATATATGGATACGAAAATGATGATTAAATGAAATTTAATCAGAGTTAATTTAACGAGGGGCTTTTGCATTGGCTGTTACTCCTGAGTTGATTATTGACTGTTATTCATATTTTTGGTCTCATGTGCCACGCTTTCTCGTTGTTCTCTTGCATTTGCGTTACTCGTGTATTGGTATTGCGAAGTAGTCTTGGCCTCCGGGGGTTTTGTTTAGTAATGCTAGGGCAACATTTATGGCTCATGGCGGTTTTCATTCCCTAGGTTATTCTTGGGGGTATTTAAGGTTTTTTGGCATAGTGTTGGTTTCACTTTGCTTGGTGAAAGGCGACGAATAGAGTGTGCTGTTTATTTTTCCGGCCCTCCCTTCCTCTTTTTTCTCTTGATGCCTTTAAAAAAATTTATCTTACTTTTAGGCATTCCTTTATGCTGTTAGCATAAATTTGGATGCTATTAGGTAGGACTGGTGCATCGGCTGTTAGTGGGGAAAAGAGTCTTTTCTTATCCATTCCCTCCCCTTTATCAATTAAATTTGGGGGTTATCATTGAAAATTCCAAAGTAACCGCTTACTGTTTAAATCAGTGGTAGGTTTAGCGATTTGCGCCGATGCACCAACGGCCCAACTCGCTCTCGATGATGTGGGAACGTGACTGATTTTCTGATCACTAGGGCTTGATTTCTGAGGGAGCTTTTTGCTCTTCATTTTGTTGGTATTTTATTCACGAGTTAGAAAATTAAAACAACTTTCTTGAGTGCTCAACAACCACCTCAAGATTTTACACGCGTTCCCATTAGCCGTCTTGAATTACACTTCTAGGTACGGTAAACATTTAGAATCCTCTGAACACCTCAGCAACTCACTTCTCTGGAAGAAGGGTTGTTGAAAAAGGTGATTTAAGATGTTTTAAAAATATCCGCGAATTCTTACTGAATTCTTACTTGTTTTTTTTCTAAGTGTTACATCTTGTTTAATGACATGATGTATTTTCTAACTTGGCTAGCTTGGTTTTTTATTACCCTCGAGCTAATAATATATATTTTAATGGTTATTGATACTTTCTCTAAACCAGACTCTTTATAAACATTCAATAGAAATAAGCAAGCATTTTCTTGAAAGGGGCGTTTTCCGGCTTTCTAGAGGGCGTGGCTTCAACAAATTTCGGGCACACCCATTTCAGCCCCTCCACTTTTAGAGTAGTGCGTGCTCCCTGGTCAGAAATGCCTTTATGGAGGTTTGAAAATCATGAAGTAATAGAATTGTAGGAAAAGAATGAAATAATGATAATACCCATGCAATTAAGCAAAGGTAAAGGAGACCATAAAACTCGTTTAATATGTATCATTTCTCACTATTTATTAATCCCAGACCGTGATTTCTGCCATGTTAATGCTAATTCGTTGATCAATGAAAGACTGGAATTCTAGCTATGCATTTTTTCCATGGAGATATACTCTGTACGACAGACCTCAACGCGATTACATGTCTGAATTTTGCCATGTTCCAATGAGACGACTGATGAACGGCGTTTTTCCTATCTTTCGTGATCAAAACGTAAAACACAATGTTCTTCGGATGTTTCAATTGTTCAATTGTAGAATTCAAATGATGGTAACTGTGTCACTTCTTTTTTACAAGAACACCATCCTCAAAACTGGTGAAAAGTTAAGAGCAAATTAAAAACAAGCTGAAACTGAGCTAATGTAAAATGTGATTTTGAACAATATTGTGATACCTCCATAAAATATTCCAACTGAAAACGAGGAGGTTTTTGCTATCTAAGAAGTATTTTCGGTGAATTTTCAAATTTGTCTGAAAATAAAGGATTTCTCATTCACTTTGCTGGAAACTATAGCCTGAACAATGATTGATTTCCCATTCCCTGTTAGGTTTTATAACATTTTCTTGGGTAACATTTCCTATGTACCAGCGTTGATTGAGTCCCTCGATCCCAGGAGTCTCTAGTGCCACCAAATGTGTTATATCTATGCTACTATTCTCAAAGACAATGTTGAGCTAAGGTTAGGGTCATCTCACTCGTCACTGTCTTTCATCTTGAGCAATTAATTGTAGACATGACTTTTACAGTAGATTTGCCAAGGTTTGGTTGACAAACGTGGCGATAGACGACAAACCGATTTGTCATACGCCAAAAATAGATATAAATGCCACAATTGAAACTTTTTGTGCAGATGATAGAATGTATGATTACGTATTTTGAGCAAATGCCTATTTGGTAAATGTAGTTTATTAGGATGAATGACAAAACCTAGATTATTCTCAGTATTGAAGGCCTGATTGCATCTGTATTATTGTGTTGTCAATGAATATCATTCTACGGCTTATAACAATGCTCCTACCAAAAGTTCCCTTGTTATGTGAAACTTTTTTATTGCCATTTTACAGCCCCCAACACTGAGGAGTCAAAAAGAGGAAAATAAGGCAAATTACCTAAACTCCGACTATTTTAAGCATTTCCATTTAGTGAATTTGAGTAGCTTATCGGCCAAAGGTTTTAAGCAATTTGAAACAATTCCTTTGTCCTTTAAAAGTTTCTAATGGTAGAACAATATTCTACAAGACTAGGTCTTTAATGGATAACCTTAATGAAGCTTGTTTCTCATTTTGTCTTGAATATTTTTTCATATACAAGTCTGGATTCATATACTTCTGAATTGGCACATAAACAAATTATCAGGCAGTGATATGTTAAATGACAACGAGATATAACCTTATGGTTTCCATAGTAACACATTTGTAAACAGTCTTTGATGAAGCAAAAACAGCCGAAAAGGACTACAAATTTTATATGGAATTCGGCGTTTCTAAAAATTATGTTTTCATTTTATATCATTTTTACATTATGCTTTAGAGTAGAAGACAGCAAGGTGCTCAGCTTAAAGAACAATTGAAAGCTAACACCACGCTAAGATTTCTATGTAATTGTTTCCTATGTAAGTCTATTCCTTAGGGTACTTATTCTGCATAGTGGAAGTTTCTTAAAGTAAAGACCTAAAGCAGTGAAACCAAACTTTAGATGCACAATTGTTTAAGATATGAAAGTATTTTTAACGAAGTTTGATTAAATTATTGCCACGTTAATGAGGCTTCCTGGGTGTTTCATTTCAAATGATATCAAAATCTTGTTTCTATATTTCTGTCTGTTTATTACCAAGTTCGTTTATCACACATTACCGTGACCATCTGCACGTGGTCTTGCATTTGTAATTATGCCCACAGAGATGTTGCCAAGTGCTTAAACTTGAAATAAGATAGTGCCTTTTTCATTATCTTAATTTCTTTGTTTTACAATTTTTTTGATGTATAGTGCAAACACCACAAAGAAATCATCCTTCAGTTGAGTACCACACGCTCTCTTTGCAAATTGACTAAAAGGGCCATGTGCACGCTCGAACTGTTGATCTGACACCCTTTATGGGCAAAATTCATTGTTGTATTTTAAGAATTTCTGATACCCTTTCATTTTATTCCATGTCAAATACTACATATTGAGGTTAAACTCAAGTTGTGACCTCAACTTGTCTGGTTTTTACCAAAAATTTGGATGACATTCATTTACCACATGAAGATTTAATTTCCAATTTGATCTCCCTCGTAAGATTCCGACTTTCCTTGAACAGATTTTGGCAATAATGGTTTAGTTTTGAAAAGAGAAATTAATTTTGATTTTCTGAGATGTAGCTTTTAACTAGATTGTGAGTGAATTTGCAATGCATATAAAAAGATCACATGGAAAGAGATCTATTCATAGGGGCAACATCTATTGAATACAATTCCACTTTATATTGACGCTCAATCAAACCTTCCAGCGTATGAAAGATGGGCTTCATCTTTTTGTGCTTCTCAATGTCAAACTTCTACACATTTCTCCATCATTAGGATACTTTACGCTTTTATGTAAAAAAGTCATGATACCTAGGCGGGGTGCCGGGGGCAGAGAGCAGTATCCTATTTACTTACGATAAACTGTCTCTTACAAACCCAATTTAAATCTTACAAAAACTTTAATAAGGAAGTTTGATATCACTTTCTAGCTTATGAACTCGAGACTTGGGGGAGGAGTTGCCTAAGCAGGCATGAGGATCGAACCTACCCAGTCTTCTCCTATGGCAAAAGTAAATAAAGTCTTAAATAAATTGACTCGACGGCATTCAGTAATAAGGGAATCAAGCTTGTTCAAAATTGCAATGTATTGCAAAATGGACCTTTGACATGTTTGTTTTGTGATATTGATATGCGCAAGGTCTATTTGTGTTCTGGTACATAGATTTTATTTTAAGACAACAAACGCTCTGAATGTCAAATCTAGAGAACAAAAAAATCAACAGGTTCCATATATACCTGCAATAAACCGGCTAGCGTAAGGTGTATGTGCTTTTGTAAAGGAATAAACGATATTTACATGTATAAAATTGGGCTTGAAATTTATCTTAGAAATCATCTTTTTAATATACCACTAAAACTTGGTTTCCACTTTGAGTTGACACGAGTTAATTTTCATAAGATAATATTTAATGAGCGTTTCCACTATAATATTATTTTTAAATCATGTCAGATCACAGAATTATCTCAAATTAACTCACGCTAACTCAAAGCGGAAACCAAGCTTAAGATGTGTGCTCATTGTTGACAAATCTGTTATCAGTGCTTCTTTTAAAAAAGAGTCATCGAGATAAACATCAAGATAGATTAGAGACATGGGAAAATCATCGTTTCAAAATGAAGAAGTAGCCTACACCTTAAAGAGGTATACTTCACATAGAAAAAATCTTTTGGATCAAGAAATGGTTTCAATAATTTGAATATGTTTAAAAAACTGATTACAAGAGGGCAGATGCAGAGACTGGCTCTTACTGTCAGAGACTGTCATCCTGACTTAGGCATGTTGGTGTTTTAAAAACTTCTTAGCTCACGGTCTGACAGGAATACAGGCAAAATCACGCATTTGGCAATAGGGCAATAATGCCTTCTCATGTTTTCTTTGAAGCAAATATGAATATAGAATAAACCTAAAAAATTAATGGTAACTTTATGGGTGTCTAAGGCCTTTGAAGCAATTGTGGAAGGTATTTTTCTGCTATGCTAAGATTTCCAATGAAGTCTGCTCACATTACGGCTGCCTCTAATAGAGTTCTATCCAAATTCGCTAAGATACTAGCCCCCCTCCCTGATATCTTGGGCGATACGAGCATTAACTGTAGTAGAAAATCGAATTTTGTTTATCTCCTTAAGTTTGTATAGAGAGAGTTCTCCTCTTCTTTAAGCCACTGTCCACGATGTCTCCCGTCTTCTAATTCGTTATATTTCATGTAATTCGTAAAAAAATCAAGTAATTGAATAGTATTTGACAGGGTTTCGTTGATGATCGTCTTTTGATTTTTCTGCACTTTTATTTTACAAGGTATTTTTGCGTAGGTCATGACCAATACCATAAAACACATTCAGAGTCAAGAAAGAAAACAAAGTTCGTGCCTTTATAAATTTATAGTGATAATTCTTTGCGCTAAAATACATTCATTTATCTAAATATTATACAATTCATTTGTCTAGTATGTAAATATAATGTTCTATTAAATGGTGCAATTTAAAAATTCATTCGAAATTTGGTTCCTTGTCCATTAAAAAATCTTTGGAGAAAGTGACTTCAACTTGATTTGCGATAACATCTCCTTGTGAAAGGCATCTCAGCGCATTCTATGGAGAGAGCAATACATCTTCGGCAATTTCATCTAGGTATCGCAATCAGTGGTAGAACTGATGATCTAAGAGATCTTTCTTGGCTCACTGTATCGAATGCACGATGAATCTTAGCTGGATTGTCGTATCTCTCCCAGAGAAGGAAGCTGTGCTGGCATGGGTGTCAGTTGCAGTATACTGAAGAGAAGTATGCTAGAATGCATTGCGTCAAAGCGAAAACTGACGGAAGACATTCTCAAAAACCGGCATACCTTGTACATCAATCAAGTCTGTTTCGTACATATACTCTTCATGTACCGGACTATCGTTCCCTGGAACCATTTGGTAGTCGTTATCGCTGTACGGTTCTTGTCTGATACATCGCTGTTCTACAGGGCTAGAGTGCCCCTCAGGGATGAAAAGTTCTGATATATCGAGAGATCGGACTAGTTCTTCTCCAGACATGAAGTCGGGGACGATTTCTTCTTCTGATGCTGATGAATATGACGAGGAGATAGATCCCGACCTAGTGTACGAATATGAAGAAACTTCCGAGGTTTCATTTGCTAATCTTTGGTTGCTTTCACTCTGCGATGAAGAGTCTAGCAAATTGTCTACAAGATCGTCAACCATTGCACTAAACCGCTTACATTCATCTAAGTATTGAAGCTCATTTTGTACCTCATTTGTTGCAATCACATTGCGTTTTACAGTATACTGATCTTTTGCCGTCGCGTTCATTTTCTTCCTTGGCGGCACCGTTTTCCGAAGTGCTGCGTCATCCGGGAATGATTCTTCAGTTCGACGTTTCATTGAATTTCTTTGCTTCACTTTGCTTAAAGAAAATTGCTTCTTGGATATTTCTTGTTTCCCTGTCACCGTCTCGGAACCTCTCGTCGTAACTCTAAGTTGTTTCTGTAAAAATCTTCTATGGTTAGTATTTCTTTTAAAGCAGCCCGGCCTTGCTAGAACATTTTTTACGCTGCTAGAAGCTGTATTCAGGAAACTCAACAGACTTTCCGCTGGAGAACCGCTCTCAGACATTCTTGATGTGCCGTTTTCAATCATATTCTGCACACACGTTTGAAGGTAGAATGATCTCTTGCTAACTACGTTGCCTTGCCGCTTTCAGCTAATGTTCTGCGTTGCTCATTCGCCGCTCATTTATACACGGTCCTTTGTTATGCAAATTAAGTCGCTCGCAAGTTACTGATTTGGCAAGACGTGTTTTAAACAATAGGCTGCAAGTGCGTGAGTATGCAAATAATTGAAAATGGATGACTCTTTCTGTAAATTATTCATAAAGTGCATTGTATAGGCTACTTTCTCTTTTTACGGTCTACACGCTGATACGCCCTCGAAACTCTGATAATCTTCCGCGGCCATACATCATTGATTTTTGGCTTTACTTAGCATTCATTATACCACACCATAAATCTAGGAAAACTACTTTTCACCGTGAGTCCAGCTTATTGTTTTAAAACCGTAACTTAATGAAGTGATGGCTGTGGATCCAAGCACAGTGCTCTAAACACGTGCAAGTTCATTGATAAGTTAAGAATAGAAATTGATAGACTTGAAAAGCGCAAGCAAGTTAAAAAGAATTATTTCTTCATCATCGCCGTCAGTTAATTCTCTCTTTGAATTAGTTCACCCAGAGGGCGGTAGCACTATTTGGATTCTGAGAGGCGCGTAAAAAGCCGTTGCACCGACACCGAGTGGGCCCGTGTATTATAGGGGGAGATGAATGCACAAAATGTGCGGTACTATCCTATGTGCTAGCCGCACGTGTGCATCAATAGTCAGTACATAGCCTAGACACGCGAGTCTGTGTTCTATCGAAGCTAATGTCTACAAGGATAGCGATGAGAGTAAACAAGGAACAAGTCAGTGTAATCCCTTCATTTAGGACATGTTTTGTCATCTTCTTTTAAGGTCACCTTCTAGGCTCGTGCCTTTAAATTTTTTAAGTAAACAATAAGTAAATTGTGGTCCAACGATTTTCTTTTTACAAACTAAACAATTTATTTTTTCGTTTTGACTTTCTGGACATTTTTTATCAAGAACAAAACCTTTCCATTTTTAGTCCGCTTTCGATTAGAGGTTGAACAGAAAGTCGTGCGATTAGAAAGAAACTTTGATTTTGATGAAAGAATTCAACAGAAATTATTTTCCTGATCTCTCTTTAACTAATTTAGCTTAAAATTATGTTTGGATTTTAGTCAGTACATAATCCTTTGAACATTAACTTTGGAAACATTGAATATTTGAATGGTTGTCAAAAAAACAACTGTTAATTTTTGTACAAGAACTTCATTCTTTTTGGTTCAATTTACTCTTTACTGTTAGCTTATTGACTGAAATGTGACGAAAACATATTTCTAAGGCCTTAAAATTTAAAAACAAGGTTATTCCTACCTTCCTCGAAATATCTTTTTACATCAAGATGTTAATTTTATTTTTAAAAATAGATGTAGTTGCAAGAACAAGCTATACACAAACACCTAGTATTAATTGATTAATTGATTAGAACCAATCGTGAAAAAATAGCCAATGAGGTACCTATAGAAACGCTTCCCTAGAAATGCAACATATTAACAAGAAAGCAAAGAAGCAAGTAACTTATGATATGTATGATAGACAGGCCCGTCGGAACCGGGAGGGCTGGGGGGGCTGGAGCCCCCCAATAATAGTCAAACTGTAGTATATTTCCTTTATAACAGTGTACTGAATGAGAAGAAAAAGAATGGGCAGCCCCACCAATATGAATTTCGTTCCGATGGCACTGATAGATGATAAGTGACTTGCTTCTTAAGAAGATAGATTGATGTCACTGAAGACAGTAGAACCACGCTTAGTAATAAAGATAAAAATCAGGGGGGGGGGAATATTGTTATGTACAATTAAAGAACTTTATTTTGGTCAGTTTTCAAATCATGATTGTAATGAGAACGATTATATCAACAAAGTGCTTTCAGTGTTATCACAATGTGTTGGCTTTAACGGGCCTAACCACTCTTTTCCACCCGTCAGATTACTATTACTTTCTTCTTAGAAAGAAATCGATGAGTGACGTAGGGTATTCTATTTGTAACAAGCTATTCCAAGATTAAAGTCATAACCGAAGAGCTCCATGAGTATTCAAAACCAGACAATAATGCACCAAGCTACTATCTGTAGAATGAGTGATATCATCAATAGAGTTTCTAACTGTAATCAGAATCTAGCCATCCAAAGTGATGTGGTTTATTTCCTTTGTTTTTCTTTCTTCTGCGCCATGTAGATTGATTTGGCAAAGCAGAGGGAGATTTCCTTTAGATATAGTTACTGCAGTTAAGACTGGAATATTACTTAAGCCGATGAGTATTTGGAACTCGATTCTCATATGAAATATCAGTTTTTAGTTATGTATTCGCTATTGGTTTAGCAATATCTAGCAATATGTTTTTTAGAAAAATTATAAAAGATGACTTTGATGTACAAACAAAATCTTCAAACAGACCTTTTTGCAGTAATGATTGCGAAGAAAATACTACAAAATTTTTCTAGTTTCAATGTAGAAAAATTCAAAGTGTTTTTAATTTTTCATCGTTGATGCTCTTAATTTTGTCTTTGTGTTTATAACCTGCTTTGAGTTATGAAAGTAAATTTTACAGAAAAACTGCAGTAAAACGATTAACCAGTTAAATCATGACATACTGAGATCTGATTCTGAATAATCAAAAATTGTAAAAAATTGTATACCCTTCATGAATTCATTCAAGACAGAACTTAAAGTTTGAAGATTGCACGAAATAGCGGAAACATGGCATACTTAAGTTCTTTCCATCCGACACTCTTCAGAGAATAAACGTCGGATAGCGATTGAAAGTAAGCTGAAAATTTATATCGAGTTGTGGATCAAAAGTAACCTGCAAGTAAGAAAGACGTGTTTGATTGGTTCTTTTTTAGTGCCATCTTCAAATTTTGCGTAATTTAATGTATCTAATTTATCTAAGTTACAAAAAGTAATTTATCTGATTTCTATGCTTGCAAAATCTTTGGTTGACTTTAAAAACTTCATATTTACTTAAGAATGCATTTAAAACAATCTATTTTTGTTTTAATTTAACTTCATAAAGGTACTGCAAAACAATGGCCTATAAACATTTTGCAATATTAAGAAATCCGACTTAATGAAGAACGTTGTTTACGTAGAAAATATTGTTGCGATAACAATCGCAAGATATGGATACAAAAACAAAGAACTCGTGCAAAGAGCAATAGAAGAAAGATAAGAAATAAAGCACGGAATTAAAAGATAATTTCTTTTTAAGTATTGTTGCTACGTAAATAGGCCACTACTAATTCCATGCGGTCGCTGCTTCTAGCTTAAATTTGTTTATCGAATGACTTCAGCATTAGGTCTTTGAAAACTATGCTGAGTTTAAAAAAGTATGTTAATTCTTAATCCACCTCAAATGTATATGGAAGATCTCTCGTGACAGTATAAACCTGGAATTTTTTCTACCCATCACAGCTATGTGCTCATTTCTACAATTACTTTATTGAGAATTTACTACTAAAATTTTGTTCATTAAAATTTGCAATTAATAACCAAGAAACTTATCTACTTGCTTGCTAGGTGCTCTTTATAAAATTGCCAAAGTTATTAATTTTGACATTGACAATTTTTCGAGTTGATTCTATCACGTTTGAATAAATTATCTGACATTTGTCATTGCTGACACACGAAACGTGACAATTCCCATTTTAAATATTTGAACATATATGAATTGTTATACTTGTTACCCTCAGAGCAACCATAGTAAATAGAGAGAGGACCAGTCTTTCCTTCTATTGACTATGGAGCAACTAAGATATGGTCAGACCATTATACGTGTATGGACATAGAGGGTAAGATAATTAGCAAATATTAGTAACTCATAATTGTTCCTAGCCGTTTTGATGCCTGACGGCTTAAGCAGTGTGTGTCATTTGCACAAAGTATAATGTTCCTAGGGAATGTTAACAAGATGAGCAGCTCTTGTCTGATATCAGTTTAGTTCAGCAAATCATTAATTACCATGAAAATCCACCACATCTCCACATTTCAGTCCAGCTCTGTTATGGCGATTTACCTATATGCTCTATCGCCGGTTCCCATGCTAGCTGGGCTGAAGAACAAAAACATCATGCTGATTGATAAAGTCTCCTCACACAATATCATTGTTACCTTCAAAACGTATTCAATTGTTCATATCAATTGTTCGTCGAGAATTCAAAGCCAAGCAATGCTTGTTTTTCATGCTAAATACATAATGATTAACGAAGGTACAAATGCCGAAGACTAACAAACTAATTGGATTTGTAAGATAGCCGCTACTTATTCAGGCGTTTCTTCTCAAAAAAGAAACTCGAAACTGACCGCTAAATCTTGTGGGAACGATGCTTAGCTCTTTGAATGTCTTTTTGAGGCAGAGGAAAGTAGCGATATAAGTAGCGATATGAGAAGCGGCATATTCTTTAGCTGCATCTACTTATTCCATAGCGATGAGCACTGCATGAAAGTTGTTATACAAATTCTTATATATGATTACGAGAATTTTTAGCGGTTATTGAGTTGGTGTCACGCTTTATTGATATAGAAAATTAAGCATGATATATGATACGAAATTTGACGTAAACCTACCCCATTTTATGTCGATGACACAGTTGCCATGAATTTGAGTGCATCCAATGAAACCAGACCATCTTCATTTCCGACGTAAACATAATTCCCACAGTTATAAACATCTTTTGGTAAATTTCTTACTTTCATTCTGCAATTAATAGTCTAGGAGATTACTTAACTATGTTTGGTGGCGCCCTCTCAATTGCTTGTACAGTTTACCTGATTCTATGGACAAATTGTGAATGAGCAAATTCTATCCATTTCACTGTTAAAAAAATATAAACACTCAATACACCTTATAGCAAAGCAGGCCACAAATCTAGGGACAATTGTGAGTAAGTCTAGTTATGAAAAAAGTGATGGGGTGCAGAATTTTATGCCTCCCAAGCGGAACTGATCTTTGCCATTATTAGAAAGCAAAAAGCAAAGCGGCTGTGCATCCCTTCCTTTAACAAGGGACTACAGTATTTCTTACTTGAATCTATAACTCAATTTTCTATGCTTAAAACAGAATGATTGTGCACTAATGAGGACCCTGCAGTAACAGGAGATTGATATGCTGTAGCCCTAAAAAGCCTACTGGATGTTTCCGAAGGAGTGAGGATCTTACACGGTTGATAAGTAAGACTCGCCGACCCGTAATTCAGTGGTTATGGCTCTTCTCAGTATTAGAGACAGTAGACGACTTGTTTAGTAATGCTCTGGTAATGAACTCAAGCGCGTATAGCCGATGATAATGAAAAACGCTAGAAATTAGCAGAACAAGTTGGCTTTGTAATTTAATTCCATAATGTTAATATATCAAAGCGATTATGCTTTTCTGATATTGCTCTTAAGATATCAGTCTGTGAAAAGCTATAGTCAAACAGAGGGCACATTTACTTTAAATTTATGTAATGAACAGTTCAAATTTTTCCCAATTTCTGAAATTATAGATTTAGCAGAGAAGGACACTGTTTGAATTGTTCTTGTATGGACTGATTATTTTCCCTGAAAGCTTATGACAATTACCAAAGCCACTTGGTTTCCGGGACTCGTACAAAGTAGTAGCTTTGGCCAAGCAGATATACTCTTACGAAATTTGAATCTGTATATTCAAAGAGGAGCCAGAAACTCCGAAGAAGGAAATTTCTTAAGTCAGTAAACGTGTATTTCCATCATTTTTCCTTGTTTTGATTTACACCATCTACGTGGAAAACACCTCCAGCGGATAATTGACAACTGCAGATTCGAAAGGGATAAAAAATTCTTGCGAGCAATTTCCACTTCACCATGGCTGCAGCCGTTGTACTCACCTTCGCACGAGTTGTTTAGCGATTTCTAAAACTGAACCGATTGTGCGACACATTCGGCAATGTTTTCTTTTCTTTGTTATTAACTCCTGCTGATGGATCTCCCTTACATTAAGCATTTTATTCGTAATCTTAATTTGGCGTTGACCTCCAACAGCGTGCAAGGCATGTTTTGGAGGCATTACAACTTTTTAAGCCAATGCCTCTGCTATCCGTAAAATAAACAACATCGATACATATGTTCGGATTTATCAAATAACCTTGTAATTGTGTACGGGAGACTAAAAGCGAAGAGAAATCTTCTAGGTTATATGCAGGCCACAAATCCAATGGTCATTGTGCTGAAGTAACTGATTAAGAAGTCGAGCCCATGAATAATATATTTGATTTTACATTTACGAGATTTGGATGATTCCAGAAAAGTCAAGTTTCAGTATACATACAATTATTTTCAGATAAATGCTTTTAAATTAACAACGCAGAACAGAAAAACCGTTTTTAAGCAGGAAATTGTAGTTAAATTATTCTTAAAAAATTGTTACATTGTAGCGGAGGACGGTTTAAATTGAGAGGAGGGCGGTATAAATCGACAAAAAGTGATTTCTAGAGGTAGGTTCTCTAGAAATGTTTCCTCTGAAAGCTCTTAAATTCTTTTACATAGTTTACATCGATTTTGTTCACGATTACATGTTTTCCAGTACTAACTTTTAAATTTGTAAATAATTTTTTATGATAAACATTATGCATATTATAAATAATTGAAGGGGGAGAACAGCCCCAGGTTCCATATCTGCTACTTTCTTTGCTTTTTCAGTCTCTGTGAATAACTTCCATTATAACATTTTATACATTACCTTGAACATTTGATAGATTCACGTCCTCTCTCTTGGGCTCTTTTTTAGATTTTCCAGGGGCTTAATAGTGATTGCTATTCCTGGCACTTCTTTCAACGTACAATTCAACGTATGAAACCTTACACGATTTTCTGATCAGGTCGCATACTAAAGTGGTTGGAAATTGGCTATAAGGATGGCGAGAATTATGAAAAAGTAAGACGAAGAAAATGCGCAAAGAATTGAGCTTGTTCGGTAATTTCCACTGATCTACAAATTAAAAGATTGAGCTAAGAATTGATTCCTAGAGCATTCAATTGCTATTTGAATAAATTTCAATCAACGCACAAAGATAGAATTTGAAGTTTTGTCGCCACACCAGGTGGAAAGACCCAGCGTAGCCTAGTATTTGAGCAATAACTAGTATTTGTTATCAGGAGCGATAAAATTAAGTTTAACCAGCCTAGACTAATGGGATCACCCAAAATGTCCGTGTGCTAGGCTTAATAAAATGTTTCGCTAAGAGTTTTGAAACGACAGATAGCAACTAGGATTCAAAGTTTCCATATAGAATTCATGTAGTCTTAGAGTAAGACCATTTTAGCGAAAACAGAAAGCAAAGAGTTTGAAATGTAATGAGCATACATCTCGGCATTTTGGTCGCTGGGTTATTAAAAATCTTAATTGGAGGTTTAAATCGAGGTCCATAGTATGTGTATCCACGCAGTGATGTATTCTGAAGGACAGGTTGTCACTTCATTGACCGGTGAATTCTTTTGCTTTACACTTGAATGAGTCGTTTTCTGAAGAAAAAAATCTAATCCTTTAAAAAATTTAAAAAGTTTCTTCAAAAGTTCTAGGGCGGCAGAATGATAGCAGATTTCTAAATGAAGCTACAAAAGTCGGACAGGATTCCAACTCGAAGTCGGACAGTTTTTAGAAACTTTTCAGTGTTTTTAGAAGGCTCAAATTATATTTTTCTTAGAAAATGACTTCAAGATATTTTCAAGCCAGCCTGTCGAAAAAAGTCCTTAATCTTAGTCTACTGGCTTTCATCGATAAAATTATATGGAAACTTCTACCATTTCCTTAATTAAAGAAGCAGTGATTCCAAACAAAGAAGTTTCTTCAATATTTTGTTCTATAAGCACGCGTTACGAGAGCTAACGAGGTCGAGGCTCGCTCCCGTCGGACAAGGGCAGTGTACACGTTTAATTTCAATATCCACACAAACTTTACTTGTTTGCTTTATTATTCTGTATAACAAACACACACGACTTTGTTTGCCTTCAAATTACGACATACGTCAAAGATGATCGACAACACCTTTCTTATAAGACAATAATGATACAGATTCGTAGCAAGCATTCGCCCAGGACGTGCAGAACAAAATTCTCGCAAATGGCTAGGAACCTTTCGTAATCTATAAGCGAAGCAAAGATAAAGGCATTAAAAATCTACGTTACCCAGTGGTACGCTGAGATTTTGAAATGCCAAGGTATAATAGTGTTTTTATTTCAAACAAAGTACACCACCTGGGTCATAAATTATTTATAAGGCTCATCGTTTCGCAATTCGTGGCTACTTCTCACACGTGCAGAATTTCTTTCAAATCAGACGCCTCAATTCTCGTTTGATCGTATCAATCACTCACAGAGATTTTCTGACTCTTATTCCCATGATTTTTGGCTCCGATACCACGTGCAGTTTTATATTTTTCTTCCCATAGTTTGGTCTTTTGTCACGTGAAGATTTTCGTTAGCTAAAAAGCAGAATATGTAGCAAAAATCTCAAGTAGACTTCAAGTAGAATAAATCTTTTCTCAAAATTCATCTCAATTGTTATAATTGTATTAATTTCTTCCAGATTACATCCTGCTAGCAGTGGTCGCGGTATTCTTGATTAGCAAGAAGGTAGCCAAATTGTTTTGTAAATGCTTAACTAACATTTTGATATACTGTATATTTGATTACATTTTGATGTACTGCATTGAGATGGGAGTCATATGCAGCTAGATCAATTTCAAATTGAGGTATTGCTACCTTAGGCTTTAAATGAGCGTTTGAAAAATTCAATGGTCTGAGGAGTCGCTTTTATACAGGGACTTTCAGAAAAAAGGGAGAACGGCAAAAAATAGAATGGGTACATGGAAACAAATTAAATTTTCTGCCTGGAAGTATTCTAAGGTGTAATAGAAAAGAACAAGATCAGATTTATCATGTAAGCGACAAGAGTGTCATTGTGTTCTTTTGATGGATAAAAATAATTGAACTATTACACTCTTTTTTTATAACAACCAGTAAATTTAAGTTCAGGCTGACTGTTCTTAATTTTTTCGAAAATCTTAGGCTGGATTGTTCTTAATTTGTACTTAATTAATAGGGTGCAAGAGTGCAATTGCTAGCTTCTTCGCTCTAGGAAGATGTTCAAGCCTCATTTGCCAACAAAATAAGTGAGACAACCTTCATTTGCCAAAAAGTCTGAATATTCACCGAAAAAGCACCTGCACATGGCTAAAAATCCTCGTTTGTGAGATAAAACGCTTTTCAAAATTGAATTTTACAGTAGCTCAACCAAAGCTTGTTCTCAATTTGTTTTTTACTTTTGACCAATTTGAGGCTTGTGTTCTTCTAAAATTTTTCCTATAAGAAAGAGTTTAGTTGCAGCAAAACAAAGGGTAAAATCGTTTGTTCAATATGGAGCTAAGGTATAAACTTTATCCGGTTTTAACTTTTCAACACAGGCTTACAATGTTACAATGTTGAAGCTGGTGTAAATCAAGTGAGGCTGATTAGCTAGAAAAGAAAGGATAAATTCCCTATAAACTCTAAATATGATGGAAAGTTGCAATCATTAATGAAATTTCCGACAAACCCAAAGAAGTCCTTTTTCACAAAGGGAAAAAGGGAACACGCTTTTTACATTTTTTCATTTTCCAACAAATGGGTTCAAATTTGCTCTGGAGAGCAAATTTTTGCAGCATCAACAATTCTGATGCATTTAGTTTTATTGCTTACACTCTTTTTATTAAGAACCAGTAAATTGATCTTCTGGCTGGTTGTACTTAACTTTTCCTTAACTTTGAGGCTGAATTGTTCTTATTTTGTTCATAAACTATTGGAGTGTGAGAAGTGCAGTCGCTAGTTATAGTGCTCAGGGGGAGTGTTCAGGCCCCATTTGCTAGCAAAGTAAGCGATCCTTTCTTTATTTGCCGACAAGCTTGAAAATCCACCACAAAAGCACTCATAGACAGGGTTGCCATTTGGCCGTGTTGACGGCCAAATTCCTCTATTCTGACCGTTTTTCAAAGCTGTTGGCCTTCGAAAATTGATTTGGCCGAAAAAGCGAAAGTTGGCCGAATTTTTGCCGCATGTCGAAAGCCACAAAAATATAAAGAAAATTGAAATTGAAAGCAAGTGGGAGCTTTGTAACAAACAAAGTCAATTTTGATTACACTATTACTCCACAGGATTAGCAAAAATGTAGCTTTTTTGTATATTTTTTTGGCGGGCCGAATTGGGCCGCCAACCATTCCAATCATCTGGCAACCCTGCTCATAGATGGCAAAATACTCCTCATTTCTATGGTGGAATCATTTAAAAGGGGGCTTTATTCAAAATTATATTTTACAGTACCTCAACATTATCTTGTTCTTGATTTGTTCTTAATCTCTGACCAATTTTGAGGCTCGTATCTTTAAAAAAAAGCATGTTAGAGTATAGGAACTTTTGTGTGGAACAGGATAGGAGGAGGGGGTTTATAGGAACAGGCAGGTTTTCCATTGTTTAGAGCAGGAAAGTGATGGGGGGGGGGTGGATGTGATTTAATTCAGCAATATACCGTGTTAGAATAGTAAAATGCAACACTTATAAACGATTCCAGATTAACCTTGTAGTTATTATTCACAAACCATGCGAAGCCTGAAACCATTTCTTCAATGCCTGGTCAACAAGATTCACTTGGAGGAGGACTTGAAGAGCCCTTGGCAATGTATATGCAGACGTCCTTCCTTTACAGTGGGTTGAAGGCATTATTTTTATGGAACCATCGATTTTTGTATAATTTTAGATGAAGAGCTCTGAAGGGAAAACCTTAGTTGCTAAAAACTTGGAGGGAGGCCATTGCTCTTTTAGGCTTTTGCCAAATGTCCTCACGGCACTAAATGGTTCATGTAAGTGGAATTCTAGGGGAAGGTCCTTTTCCCCTTAAAAAACTACTTCCTACAGTTAAACTTCACCTTTTATACTACATATGTCAAATTTTCAATTTTAAACAATCAGTGACCAGTTTAATCGAAAGAAAGAAATTTGCTTCTATTTATGTGGTGATATGTTTTTTTGTTGCAAATTTTCATGGATCAGTTTCAGACGATTCAATAGCATACTCAATACAGACAATCATTGTTTCACTTGCATGGTTCCTGATATTTTCTCAGTAGACTGCTTATCATTCTTTGATATGATGCTCAAGTGAAGGATAACTGATCGAGTGTTGCCCTTTTCATGTCAAACTGCCCCATCCTGTTCTATTGTCATCTAATCTTGCTTTAGTGAGAAAATCTGACAAGCTGGGGAGACGTTTTAGAAGATATGTTGTGATTTGGACATTTCTGGATGAGAGACGAAGTGAATATTAGAAGAAAATCAGAAGGAAAATGTTAAAGACGAGGTGTGTATCCAAGGACGTAGCTAGCGGGGGTAGAGGGGGGTTTAACACCTCACAAAAACTTCATGAATTCGTCGGTAAATCTTCAGTTTGTCTACAAAATCCTTTCTTTGTCGGCAAATTCGTTTACCAATGAGTGATAAAGCACCTAAGTTCTTCTCCATCTATGTCTTCGTCGGTAAATTTTTCTATTGATGACTCTCCACCCATAATCTGGAAGGCCAGGCCAAGATCAAACAACAGGTTTCTTAGGGACTTGTCTAATAAGCAAAATGATTTTGCGATTTTTGTGAAGTGATAAGCCCCACAGTTTAAGAAAAAGCCTGACGAACCAAATGAAAAAAATCACTAGAAATTAAGCTAGAAAGAAGCCGTTTCTATGTTATGTTCTGCAATAGCTGGGCTAAATATTCAGAAACAAAAAGGTTCCTGAAAAACTAAACCATGAAAGTACATTTGACTCTTGAAAAAGTTAATTTGAAATATACACACTGTTTTTCTAAGCATGCATAGCTCAAATATAACTTAAGCATGTGACGATGAAGAATAGTGTGATTAAAACAACGTTTGTCATAGCTTTTGACAAAACACGTTGCGTGTGTGCCACATTCGCTTGTTCATGCGCACAAAACTCGTCGACCGCATTCAAACAATGTGGATTTCAAATTCTTAAGAATTGCGTTTTCTCACTTCTAAGTTTTTTTCTATTTGAAAGAAACACTTATCTTTCTTTTCTATGAGATCAATCTTTCTTCCATACAGATGTCGAATCTCTTTTTGAAAATGTTTATGTTTGCGTTAAAGAAACTGCGTAGTATAGGTGATATTACTAGGTAAAAAACGTCAGTGAAGTTACGCGAAGAAGGAGATAAGACAAAAATTTAAGGCTGTGTCTTTTCGTTAACATGGTGAAAGTGTTGGTGAAAGTCTGGAACACTTGACAGACAGTGTTGACAATTCCCACCAACCCCTTCTTCTTGTTCCATATTGACATATTTGATGCTAAACTACCTGTGCCCAAGCTTTGAGTTAGTGGGAGGAGTGGGTGCTAGATATTGTACTATGTATGGATCCAGCCGTCTCAGAGCCAATGCCATACTCCCTCTACTTTTTTGCAAAGCAAGTAGTTTTAAAGCTGCAGTAAAAGAGCAAAGAAGCCTCGCCCCCTACTTTTGCTAGCCTTGGCCCCCTACCTTTACTAGCCTTGACCCCCTACTTTTGCTAGCCTTGGCTGCCCCTGTTTCAAATTCCTGGCGTGGGCCCTGCGTCTCCTATCTGACCCCTATTTTTAGAGAAGTCCTGAATCACAGCGTAATTTTCTGCCTCCAATGAAATATTGCCTTCAAAGTTTGATTTGGGAAGGAAACCCTTAGATTTATTCAGTGAGATGTATGTATGTCAAGAATAATAATATATTCATGGTGGAATTTAAAAAAATTTATATTGATGCACTTATCGAAATTCTGTCATGGAAAAATGCAGCATATATATGAAAAAATGATATAAAACATGTGTTTATCAACGAGTGCTTTTATGAACATAATGGTGATAAGAAATAATTATTAACAAAATCACAAACGAGTCTCCACGTCGTCCTTTGAATTCCACCAAAAAATACAAGTGAGACAAAGGAAAGAAAACGACAGATTAGACAACAATGTCAGACTCGAGATTGGATATAGAAACTTTTTGTGTTGAAACCTGTGTTTTCATGGGGATAATAAAAGAAGTTAAAAGAAGTTTATTAATCATTCTTTTGACTGCTATAAGTTGAATGTCTAAAAAGAGTTCAATAAAGAATGGTTTATTTAAACTAAATGATTGGTCAATAATGGAAATGGAGAAGATCTTTTCCAGCACACCTGTGATGTTGTGAAAATTATGTGAAGAGAATTTAGCACCGGGTATTTTACAGATATCAAAATTTTTACCATCAACATGATATACCCCAAGGGGTTGCATAATGGGTTTTTCTTGATAAATTCTTTACAGGATTTTCCTGGTTTTTTTAACAAACGCGCTATCAAGAATATTTAGTTGCGCTGCAGAATGATGTTGAGTATTTGCATTATTTTTTATAATAGCTATTTGTAGACTGAATGTACATTGGCCCTCATTGAGGAACAGGTTATGCTTCATTTTGAATTTAAAAATTTGGTTGAAAGTTTTATTTAAAAAGTTTTTTGTTTTATGTGAAAAGCTTTTACCTAGACAATTCTAGAAATCATGTAATCAAGTAATCACTTGCTGGAAAGATTCTGTTATTGGACCAGGACTTTTGTCAGTGTTAGCCAAAGCACGATTAAGATTTTATCCTTTAAATCAAAGCATATTCTGATTCTATTGTCAGAATATTGTTTAATTTATACCATAACTGGTAAATCACGCTTGATTTATAACACATACATTTCTTCAAATTGAAAAAAATTCTTACGTTTAAATTTACTTGGTTGTTGAAAAGAACTTCTCAGCAAAACATGATTTGGTCTAAGAAATATTCTCAAATGAACAAGATGCCTTTTCAGATTCAACATAAATCATGCAGTTGGTGATGATTTTCTGAATGAGGGGTTGGCTTTTGAATGAACAGTGAATTGTAGTTTTCAGACTACAGTCCCCTCGAAGCATCTCTAGATATAATGCCCTTCTAAAAATAGGTTTTAATGCTTAAAGCAGTTAAATTAGTTTCAGTTTAATATCTTAAAAATTCAACTAAATACAATTAATCAGTTACATTAATTCAAGACTACACACAATACAAATTAAACACAAACCTAAAACAGAGCAAATTGAAAAACGACACAAAGCAATAATAACATACATATCAAATTGTATGAAGGGGAAATTGTATGAAGGGGAGATTGTTAAGAAGGTACTTTCTCAGTAGCTGGGCTAATCAAGGAGAGAGCACTCCCTTTTCTAAGGTTGAATATTTATTTAAGTGCTCCTTCTTTTTGTTGCACAACCATCAGTTCCATAGAGCAGCACAGGCCTGGTATGGAAAATTAAAAACTCATTCATCGTTGTTTTTCTTATCATGTGGCTCTCCTTCCACCGTCATCCACAAAAGCAATGTTGCCTTCTGTTACCCCCTTCAGCATTTGATCATTGTCAAAGGTACTTGATGCTTCCCACTTGCTGAAGTTCCTTAGCAGGAGTTTTTCAACATTGATCTCAGACTTTCTCTTCCAAATATTCTCTGCCATTCACAAAATGTTACCTGCAGCTCGCCTTCTGGACCAATCATCGTAGTCAAAACCATGTCCTATTGTAAGTATTTTATACCCTTGAACATCAATGTATCCAATCGGTAGAAGTTGCTTTTCAGCCAAATTTCTGGAAATGTTTTGTTTGATTACACGATGCCTTTGTCAAGAACAAATAAGGTACATCATTAAGCTTATGACTTGCTCTATGAGAACATATGATTTTGTTTTAAAATTGCTGTGTAAAATAGTGTTTACGTTTTTTTGGGCCTCCCTAATCCCCCCTCCACTAATGACGTTCAGAAGCATCATTGCTATGCAGTTTATTGTAAAGAAAACTAAAATTATACTGAAGTAAGAAGACTATCATAATGAAAATTCTCTATCACAAATTGTCAGTAACAATTCTTATATAGATCCACATTCTTCATGTGTCGCCTTCTTCATTATTTAATTCATATCCCCCTTCAATATTTCTGTAATGTGATCTCCAAAGCTTGTCGTCTTCTTCTTCTTTTTTTTTAACCTTGCTTTCTTCTTGCTCCATTTTATCTTATCTCTCCTTCTCTGAATTTCGCCGTCCATGTTTTGCATTGACTCGTTGCCCTAAATTGAAGTGTCAGTTGTTTCTTCATCTAAATAGAATTAACCTACAAACTTAAAAGCCTTGAATCTAAAATACAGTATACGTATAGTAGGAAGCAAGCTGTGCAAGGTAAAAAGATATAAAGTTACTGTATGTAGGTCTTTACAGAACACTACATACCCATTACACAAAGCTATACACATTTTCATAGTAGAAAAGGGAGGTCATAAACTATCGTTTTAAAACCCCTTCACCTTCTGTTTTTTGAATTTGTCGCCTTAAGCCCTTGGTCACTGTGAGCCGACTACTGTTTCAATACCTTTGCAACCCCAGTGCATATTTGAAATGAACGGGTTTATGGGGAGTTTAAGCAAATGCTTTTGAGATTCACACATTACATTTTGATCCATCTAATTCGGGACTGTTGTGAAGACACTTCAAAACTTGTCTCTGTTTTTTCAAACAATTGACAAGCAATTCCTATCATTTGATAGTAAATGTCTAAACGTAGAAGAGCTTATCTCAAGCATGGCATGGCTTAGTCTTTCTGCCTACGTATGGTTTGTCAGTCTATATTACACTGCTCCATATAAACGAAATTAGATGAATTATTCGACAAATTCAGCAGGATGGTCATCGTCGTCCTTGTAATCAGGTAAAGAAACATTTCCTTTAACACAAGCATGAAAACAAAAAGAACCTGAATTTATTTTCTTGAAAAGATAATGAACAGATACAATGGATCGACAAACTGTTTAGTCTTTTAAATATTATTTATTCATCTTCTGTTAATAAAGGTAACTGACTATTACTTTACGAGTATCATCATTTATTTCAGGAGAAAGAAAAGACCATTCACGAATTTTACTTGATGAGGTGAGTGTCAATCGATATAAATAAAAGCTTTCTATCTAATTATGCCTGGTGATTTCATTGTTATGGTAGCGAAACCCACGTGTATAGAAGTCCAGTAGACATACGGAGACAGCCAGTGACTGGAAGGGAAGCTATAAAATGAGTAGGAAAATCGGAAAAATACAGATCGTTATCATTTTAATCTTGAGGGTGGGACTAGGAGGGCAAGTTTTAAACGTGGCATTGTTCAAGTGTCTAACAACCTTCCGGCTAAATCAATACTTCATTGTCACAGGCATTAAGACCAACCTAGGTTACTCACAAACCTGGCTGCAGTAAAACTGCCTTTTTGCATAAAATACTATATGCTGTCTCCATCCCTCCCCCATGTTCCATTATAACGGTTTCGTGTGGTGGGCTAATGATAATACATTTTCTGTTGATTAGTGTTCTGTAATAGCCCAGCTTACAAAAAGCAAAAAAGTTATAGCAAAAAATGCAAGAACTCTTTATATTAAGTACACGTGAGTCATCGTACAGATTTTTTTAGCGGCCACAGTTAGTGAACTTATTGAGTCACGGGAATATAGTCCTTTGTGAAGGAACTTAGAAATTTGCCAGTGCTGCTAGTTTCTAAATTGTTCATGAAATTTAAAACTCGAAGATACTTAAGTTAATAAATTATTTGGTAGCAGTCAACAGATAAGCGTAAGAATGGGAAATCGACTGTAATTTTGTTAAGTTTAACTCTAAGTTGCATCCCGCTAAAACTTGACATCCGGCTGTGTTTGTGTTATAATGCGTATAGTTGCTTTTCATTAGTAAAGGACACGATTTCATCTAAAATGTAGGTTTATGTTATAATTTTTGCTAAGCTGAGGATCCTGGAGATTCATCAGGCAGCTCTTAAAGTTGTTTAGCTGGTCAGCAGCGACAGTTCATTCTTTTCTATAAAAACAATTTTTAAGACACGAACCTCAAAATGGTCAAAAGTTAAGAACAAATAAAGGACAAGCTGAGCCTGAGCTTCTGCAAAATGCAATTTTGAACAACGTTTTATCTCACAAACGAGGATTTTTAGCCATGTGTGGGTGCTTTTTTTGGTGAAACTTTTCGGCAAATAAAGCCTGTCTCACTCACTTTATTGGCAAATGAGGCCTGAACACCTCCATTGTCCGAAAGCGCTAGCAATCGCACTGCCTACATTCTTTTAATTTAAGAAAAAGTTAAGAACAATCCAGCCTCGGATTTTCGAAAAAAATAGAACAGTCGGCCTAAACTTAGATTTACTGGTTGTTATAAAAAGAAGAGTGTGTTGAGTTTCTATTGAGTGCTTTAGTTGGGAAAAACGAATGTATGACTTCAATCCATCTATGAATAGTTTAATATCTGTTTATCTGTTTTAAATTTGGTTGTACTTGAAGTACTTGAAGTGTAATTTGAAATGTTTTTATTCAAGCTTGTGGTTTCTTTTATTATTCTCGCCATTTTGGACACTTTAACAATGCGTATCCTTCTTTCATCCTACTTTTTTTAAATAAAAAGATGCAAAATTCGAACTAGTGTTGCCAAGGCCCATAGGGGGAGGGGTGCCTATACGTAATAAAAATCCTTCGTTGGCAAACATTGATGCCCCCCCCCCCCGATAGTTCTACCCTTCCTACGGTACTGCCTGTCGTGATGATTCTCATCGTTTATGGTCCTAAACGGGTTCTAAACAGTTTCCCTTTATTTTTGAAGATTGTAGATGTTTGGATAAGAGCTTTCAAATGCTAAGAAGTACAGACTCAAGAGAATCATTGGCACTCCCTGAATGGTTAATATGCATAAAAAAGCTGTTGATTTGACTTCAAAGCCAGCGGGAAAATTCTTCTTGAGAAAAGTTACTTAAAATAGGAATTTTGAATGTGTCTAATTTCCCTCGCTAACTGTAAAGTCAGAAAAACCTGGACCCTGGAACAAATTTTCAAGTGTTGTTGCTGACCTTAATGGTAAAACTTTCAAAGATCATTTGTCACCCCAGTTTTGGAGATAAAGGCTTTTTTTAACTCGAATAACAGAAAATCAAAACAGTTACGAAAGAAGCAAATTCATTGTGCAATAAAAGAAACCCCAAATTTAAGGTTACTACCATTCTACCCAGGGCTGTCTCTAACTACTGTGTTAAGACGAGGAAGGGAGGGGGGTTTCAGACCAAATTTTCCAGATAAAGCGGGTGAGCAATCCTTTCATTACCGAAAATTGTACAGAACAAACTGGGTGACGAAGCACCCTTATGTGGCAAAACTCCCCCTAACCCTCACCGAAGCGGCGGCCCTGATTCAACCTGTCCTTCACATCATAATCTCTCTTTTCTCTTTCATTTTCATGTTTAATCTTTAGATTTTTCAACAACACGAAATTCTGTTTAATTGTGCTAATTTCCTCTTAAAAAACGACGTGAGCAAATGATGGCAGAGGTATATTTCCGCACCATAACCACATACGGAAATAAACCGATGACCGCCCCAGTTCATTGTGAAGATCTCCAGAAAATGATCCTTCTAGAAGATCTCCGACAACCATTACCATAGGCTACACTCTTTATTCGATTTGGATCTAACTCTTTCTTTTTTTGCTGATTTTGAATACAGCAAAATATCTTTTTCATAACAATAATGATAACGATATAAATGTTTAGACTGTCTAATTATAATGGTCGCCTTTTCAGCAACAAAGATGTTGTTATCAATAAGAATAAGGTCTATACACAGGTATTGCCAATAGAAGTTTGGAAGTAATTTCAGAACAAGAATAAATTGTACAGTTTGTAGTACACTCTTTTTTTATAAGAACCAGTAAATTTAATTTCAGGCTGACTGTTCTTAATTTTTTCGAAAATCTGAGGCTGGATTGTTCTTAATTTGTTCTTAAATTAAGAGGGTGTAAGCAGTGCTATTGCTAGCTTTTTCGCTCTAAGGAGGTGTTCAGGCCTCATTTGCTAACAAAGTGAATGAGACAGCCTTAATTTGCTGACAAATTTGAATATTCACCGAAAAAGCACCCACACATCGCTAAAAATCCTCGATTTTGAGAAAAACGTTGTTCAAAATTGCATTTTGCAGAAGCTCAGCCTCAGCTTGTTCTTAATTTGTTCTTAACTTTTGACCAGTTTTAAGGCTCGTGTTCTTATAAAATTGTTCTTATAAAAAAACAATTTGTATTGTAAGAGTGTAAATGTAGGGGCTAAGGCTAACCAGTGGCGTAACGCAGTTTGAGGCATCTTAGGTCGATAACCAAGGGCCCCCGGCCAAAAGGGGCACCTAAATTGTTTTCGCATCCACGTTTTTTACACTTCGCTCAAGTTCAACCGTTTTAAAAGAACTTTTTAGAAACAAATCCCCTAATTAATGAGAAAAATTATCATGTTCACATCTTGCTATTGTGTTTAAAATGCTCTAGACTCTTGGATGGGACTATTTTGCAGTCCATTAATTGGGGCCGTGTCTCTGTTTTTCGTTAGGGCTCCCGGTGGCTCCATTACCGCACTGGGGATAACGCTTAATAAAGTTGAATATGGATTGTCCAGCATTAGAATATTGTATGATAGTAAGAAGTGCTATCATTAAAGTAATACCAAGAAAAAATTATAAAACTAAAAAACAGTTTTCAAACGAAATTTTTCATTTCAATATTTTGTCGAAATACGAAACATGACTAGACTTTCCTTTATTTGAAACATGACCAGACTTTTCTAGACTTTTACAACAAAGCGATTGTCTGGGGTCGTTTTCAAAGATAAAAGAGTTTTGCAGATATTGTAGATGATTTATGCCTCTCTAATCTGAAAAAGTTTTCATAAAACCTATCTACTTAACTGACTTCTAGATGAATCATTTTATGCCTCTGAGTCAATATGTTGTTCATATTGTTTCCTGGTAAGACACGTTAATCTTTACTGCCCTTCGTATTATGCTTTGTTCGTTAATTGTGTCATTACCTCTGATTCATCAGCCACATTTTCCTGCGTTGTTGCTGAACTCACAGAAGTCCTAGTTTTAGAAATGCAGTTGCCAATAAAACAGTTTTCTCTTCAGAGTGCTTTCAAATGGTCTCCCTAACTTCATTTTTCTTTATGAAGAGAAGATACAGTTTTGAAAACTGCATTGAATAATTTTTGATTTTCTTTTACAGAGAAAATACTGTCATCGTAATCTTTTCGTTGATTGACTGAAGAAGTACCCTGTCACAAGTAAGCTCAGGGCGTAAATACTTACTCTTTGCAGTGAACTCGAGAAAATTGATTCATTCTATAAATAATCATTTGTTTCAAATGCTCTCTGCCCTAAAATTCTTGTAGTCTTATGAGGTGACACCCTTAACCCCCGAAGGAAAGAAAATATTACCTAACAACAGAGCTGTTTCGTGTCTGAAAACACTGAATGTCAATTATTTGGATTCCTACGTTAAATGAGGGATTAACTGACGACAATGCATTGGAGTTCGCATTCAGATGAAGTATGATTATTTCTTAATGGCAGCGTAAGGCATTGTCATTTTCCAACCATTTAAGGAAAGTGATTGCAGCGGGCAAGCAATTCGTACTGACATCTCCGCGCACTAAATGCACACGCAAACTGCATAAACCCCGACTTATTGTTGTCAATATCCGCAGATGGACAAACAATGTACACATTCCTCTCGCGTTTCTATAGCTACGTGGAATTTTAAAAAAATATTACAAAGACGTAGGCTGCTAATGTGTTTGGTATAAAATATTTGATTGCATGTGTATGACATTGTACAGCTAAATATTGACATTAGCGTTGTTCTTGACTAAACATATAAAAACACCATGCCCTTCAACCCCAGACACACCCTAGGTGCCAGTGCTTTAAATATAAAAGAATTTTAATTAAAACGAAATGGAAAATTGTCTCTTTTTGCCCCCTATCTTTGTTACAGGCAAGAACCAAGATACCGGGGACGGGGGTCTTGACCCCCAACAAATATAATGCCTCCCAACAAACTCAAATAGCATAAGTAAACTACTTTTATTTTGTAAAATATTGCTGTTGTTTCACTTATTCACCCCCCCCCCCAAACAAAAAGTTGTATCTTGGTCTTTGGCTACAGGAGACACTTGCATCCAGGGTACTGTAGACTATATACCGACAACTAGTGCACAACATTTACATGAATGCTTACTATAACTTTCAATTCTTACTTCACTTCACTGTTTCAATATCAGTTACAAACAAATTACGGTACTGTTGTTAGTTATCAAAGTTGAATCGTCTAGAGCAGTAACTTTGAGTCCAAGTCATAAGACTTGCCGCAGCTCAGCACTTTTGAGGCTTCAGCAGAGTTGGCTGGGGGACGACAAACATTGAGAAAATTGATGTATTAATAGAAATATTGATGTGTAGGGTTCATCATTCTTACGCCCAAAAAAGAGAAAGGCAGTAATTTAGACTTTTATAATTCAACTTGCACATCATGGAGGGTCAAAGATCCTAATAGTGCAGACTTAATTGTGACATATTTGAATATTTATACCTCATTTATGTCCATTAATATACAACTGGGTCTTGGCACCTTTTCCCTAGCAAGAGTTGTGAAATGACGAATAGGAAAATCAAAATCTAAAACAATATATAACATAACGTTATGCAGTGTACGCACAAGTAATAGTCTTGCTTGTTATGAAGTAACATTTCGATCAAAACGCAGTTAAACAAATGAAAATTGTGGTAAGATTGAGCCTTGCAACTGTTGGACGTTTGACCTTACAATTATACCCTTTGGACTAAACTATGTAAAAGAGTAAACTTTGAATAGAGTATGCCCCCGTTTACCAATTGAGTTAAATTGTCTGTAATGTTTTGCACTGTAAATGAGATTCCTGTCTGGTTTATGTAGCATTATGATTTTATTTAAGATTAGTGTTCTTTAGAACTCGAGTAAAAATTTTCGTTTTTTGCAAAGCTTCGAATTTAAATCCGGTGTTCCCCTTTTTCTGTTGGTGGGTTAAATACCATCAAGTTCTTTTGGTAACCTGCACGCGATTTCTTCAAGCAATAAATTTATCAAACCACATCGTCTTCGAAACTCGAGCTGCACGCAATTTCCACAATTTCTAGTTCGTTTCCAGTTGCAGCACAAAGAAGATCTCGGCTCAGAAGAAGACTTCCTGATCCTTGGCCACACAATTCACGTGCAGGTTGAGCACCCTTGCTTCATACCACAATCAAGATATGCCCAAATTATCTAAAAGCAAATAGACACAAAATCAAATCTCATTGGTCGAATTTTTCAACATGACCATATACGGGTTTATGATATAACCGCAGAAAGCCTCCTCTCTCCATTTGACGTCAATCAATTGCAAGACATGGCTTCTCGGTGAGAGAAATGTATGCAACTGGTAAACAAATTCCGTGCATGGGCGGGAGGGCAGCCCAGACAATATAGAATCAAAAACAATGAAGTTGATGTATATAACTGTGTATGACTAGTTTATATTGTTTACACCTAACAACCGCATCCTATTGTTTGACCCTGGAGTCAGAGGGTATAAAAGTGCTGCTACTTGTTCAGAGCATCAGATTCCAGAAGATTCAGAAAAGAAACGATCATCGAGAGTTCTCTCCAGAGATATCCTGATAGTGAAGACAAGCAAGAGTTGACGAAGCAATGGCAATGTCAAACGATCTACTCATTACAATGACGATTTTCGTCCTAAACATTGTTACAGATTTCGGGTCTGCCAGTCTTTGTGTGGAGGAGCATCCCCAGACGGCTGTCTGTAGAGCTGATTTCGGTAAGAATTTTCTTATTTTTCGCAAAATGTTTTTCCATTCAATAAGGTTATCTGTCTTTTACATAAAGATTGGTGGTTGCGTGAATTTGTAGCCAGAATTAAAAATAGCTTCCTATACCAATTTTGTTTTTCTTAAGTTAAATATCAAATGAATTAAGAGTCACATTTCTATTCAAGAAAGACCATGGTTAGTCATATTTAAATCATTTTTTGGAAGCTGCTGATTAATTTTATTACATTATTCTCATTGAAGTAATTTTGTGTGTGTGTAAAGGCTAAGACTAGTATTGCGGGGTGCAAATATCAAATCTTATTTATTTTCGAAAAGTCAAATTGCTTCTGCGGTTTTTGAATCTGGCGAACTTAATGCAAAATCCAGATCTTTAGATATTTGCAGGCACTTAACCTAGAAAATGATAAGGTTATTCGACATAGCACTTGAAAATACTTTCGTCCCCTTCAATTTAAATGAAAATCTTGCGGGTATTAAGGGGTGTCAAAAGAGGGGAAATGACATCGCCTTCCAATAGACCCATCTTTCATTTGGTTCCGCGCCAAAAATGTGCTGATGTGACTAAGCCATCACTTGAATATGCTGTGAAATTCTGGATAGCCAAAGTACTTAAATGTTTCCTGTGTGGCATTCTTTCGCATCTTTTTGTATTACAAACCGTAAGCCTTTGTATTTTGGTCAGGGTATAGAGACGAGCAGAATTAAGACTGAATCAAGTCAGAGTAGTTAATGAATATTTGGAAGATCTTTTATCTCTAAGAAATTTCCTTCCTATTATTCAAATTGTTTTCATAATATTTTCTCAGTTAAACCTTTATCTTAAACTTTCTCTCCTCAGTAGATATAAAAATTATTAATCTGGGAAGGAATGGTTGAATCATATATAAACGTTTGGGAAGGTGGATGGGGTCTTTCGGCCATCAGCAACAAGAATAATTTGCATGCACTAAACAGCACCCTGTCCGCAAAGTTGCTTAATTTTTATAAGACTTTGAAAGTCATTCTGAGATTTTGCACCTCAAAGTTGCTAAAATTTTGTAAGATTTTAGGCCGCAGATTTGCTTGTTTGTTGTTCACCTGCTGCTTTTTCGTGAGAGTATGAACTGAAATTTAAGTTTACTTTTTTGCCAAGCTATCTAGGCCCTTAGAACTTTTACTGAACCCTCAAGTTTTTTAAGCTCAGGTGACTCAAGGTCTAGTGAAGTATAAATATCATTCCACTCCTTCGGAAGTGCTTTGCTGAAACCCTTTCACTCTCATGAAAATCAAAATTCATTAAAGGACTCAGAAATTCGTCAAAGGCATTTCTCTTGGTTTTGCCTAGAGTCATAGTTAGGAGGGTTTCATGAGGATTGCCACACCCCTTTGAAAATCATTTCGTTCAAAAACATTCGTTGACGATTGTTTAAACTTGTAGACTAATAAAGATTTGCTCACTTACTTTGTCATCAAATGGGACATGAAAACCCCCCTTGAGCACGATAACTATCGACATCCCGAGCTAGCTTTGCCTTTGGCATTCTCAAACGATTCGTGGCGATTTAAATTTAGCAGTGCGTACTGAGTCCACGTGATTCAAAGCGCAGTTCATAGGTCAATTTTAGAGCTTGCCGCAACAGACCACAGTTCAAATTTTGGTTAGAACTCCCTTGGCTGAGGTAGCACGTTATATTTTCATGAACACACGACACTTTGATTAACAAGCAAGCAAGGAACAATTTATGTTGTCCAAAATTTGTTACCTCCATATGAAAGGTACCCTCTTACGACGGACAGTAACGTTGTCTGATATATAGAGATTTTACTATATAGCATTTGAGACAGAAAATCACTTTCAAGACAACCACGCAAAGCCTTTATTAAAAATGTTTTTCTTAGTCGAATTCTTTTTAAAAAATTTCGATTTGTTATGTTTTTAGATATATATATTCATGTGATTATTAATACATGCTAGAACAACGTATTAGAACAATTATTTATTCTCTCTTATTAAGAAAACTTTTCTTTCGTTAGAACTTGATAAATTCTTTTTATTGCAGTAATAAAAGCCAGAATTATAAGCAACAACTGGCAACCAGCTAACCAAAAGAAAGATTCCAAGCCATCCTACCGTAAACCACAGTATATGCAGGTTGAGCTACGCAAGGTGTACAAAGGCTCCAGATCTGTAAATGCCACCAAGTACTCAAGGGTGATAATTATGGTTGCCTCGCCTCAGCGAATGAGCCTCGAGGAAGGACACAACTACGTTCTGACAGGGTTCAGCTTTGGGACAATCCTGTACATGAACCATTGCAACTGGAACTCGAAATGGCACGAGTTAACGCTGGCCCAGAAGTATGGTATCGCGTTGTACAGATACCTGATATACTGCCAATGTCGCATTATGGAGTGCACTGGTGAATCATGTCATCAAGATCATAGAAGCTGTTCATGGCACAGGGAGGCTAACAGCCTAGGCTGCCTTTCCGAAAGCAAGATTTGTATGGTCAGAAATGGGGTAAGATGTGACTGGATGGGACCAAGTACAGGGTCGTGTAGTATACCCTAAGTAAAGGTCCAAAACACGAACAAAACTAAATAATAGACGAAATCTATTTATTGTTTTCTCTCAGAGAGGGATATTCGCGTGGAATATATCGTTAAAATAAAGATGTGATACGAAATAAATCGTGTTAGGAATAACATACGAAATCTCTAAAGAAGCAACTGCTTCATCTTTAAAGAAGCAACATACGGAAACTCTCCAAGATGAATATATGTAGTTCGCTTTAATCATAAATTGTATATATGGATTCTAACCAAATATATACCACGCAACCGCTTTTTTTATGTTTGTCGTTACTTAGATATATTTTGATTGGATTGGAAATTAATGTAAAACTTATAGAGAAAGACCGTATTTTTTCTGGCTGTCTTTTACTTTCAAAGTATCATAAACAAAGAGCTCAAACAGAGGTATGTTTTATTGACTGAAAGACAGAAATAGAAATTTTTTACTCACCAATGTTTGTATTCCATCCCTAGTTGATTCATCATCAGTGCTATATATATCAGTTGTGGCAAATTTTAGTCCTCAGGCTAATTGTGATGGCATGTTAATGACTTAGATGGCTTCCATACTTAGAAAAACTTAAATTTTTAAAGTTCAAATGGATCATATTTCGATAGCATAAGTTAATCCACAAAGACCGTTAAACCAAATCTCCTCTAAAAAAGATAGCAGATTATCTTTCTTTATAATTTGTTTTTTTGGGGCAAATTCAGCAATGTTGGCTGCACGAGTGTTCGCTCATGATTTTGGATCGGGAAATTGTTGCTTGTGATTGGTTTGTGATTGTTATTGATCACGTGGTGCATAAGCCTAGCACATTTAAATCTAGAAGAATCGTCAAAGTTTAGGAGGCTTACGAGATTTAGCTCCAAGACCTTCAAAAACACATTATTCGAACTGGTTTTGAAGCGTCCACTTATTACAAACAAGAATATTAAAAAATGAGGGCTATTCTGCACTCGGTTCCTAATGTTTCTCCAGGGCTCATTCCGGGCCATAGCCCCCAGTTCTTGGTAGGATCTTTTTTGTATTTTGTCTAAATTTGACGAGAAAATGTTGAAGGAGGGGTTATGCTTTGGCAAAGTTATCTTTGTGATGTGATGAACTTGAAACTGCCTTGACGTAAGCAAAATCTAGTCATGGGAGTTTTTATTGGGGCTAAAAGGAGCCCCATACCTAAGAAAAAAGATAGAAATTGTAAAGAACAAGGGCCCCGCAGATGTTTTTGGCCCCGGGCCCCGCAGATGTTTTTGGCCCCGGGCCCCGCAGATGTTTTTGGCCCCGGGCCCCGCAGATGTTTTTGGCCCCGGGCCCCGCAGATGTTTTTGGCCCCGGGCCCCGCAGATGTTTTTGGCCCCGGGCCCCGCAGTCCCTAAAACCGCCGCTGACCTTCCCCCAACGGCATTTCGCGTTGTTTTACTGCGCACAAAAGCATAAAAGCATAGATCATCTGAACGGACACAGGATAGAGAGAACTGGCGTGGCATTGTGAGACCCGTCGTGCAGTATTAACTGCGTGTGACGTCTTAGTAGTAGTAGTAAGAACAATTCAATGAATAACACAAAATCACTGTTAATCATTGTGAAACAATGTACGACAGCAAAGAATGAACAATCATCATTAACTAACGTCACTGTTCAAAAACAAAATAGATGTCGACGAAGTAATTTATTCGTTTGCTCAACATCATGGGAAAGGTTCAAATATTTTTCTCAAACATTTGTTCTGTTACTATGGCTAAAAATAGATGCAATTTTTGGAAAATTGTAAGGTTAAAAATTTCCAATTAATTTCAAACATTTCAGATGAAAAATCGATTGAAATTAAGACAAAACTTCTCCAGGCTGATAAATAGATTGAACTTTTTCTTGCCAAGCAAAAAATCTGAAAGCGTGCGTATCTGTTGCCTGAAACCTTCCCTTTACCTTCGTTTGTGATTGTGCACTTTTCTTTCACGGAAACCACTCTTCCCCATCTCTAAGTGTACCAACCTTTCTAACTATTCTAATATATGGTACCAACTCTGATGGCCCATATTCCTAGCCTCAATTTGAAGACAGCTGTGTTCCAGAAAAGCAGCAATCTGCAATGCGGCTTTGGTTATTGCGCAGGCGGGAATGCGGTGGGATGTTGGCAGGCTGAAACTTTGAACATGTTTCTGTTTACAGAAACTTTTGTGTATTGCTTGCTTGTCAGAAGATATACCTGCCATCCACTATATTAATTTACTACTTCCATCAAACAAGCTGTTTAAAAGATCGATTGAAGATACGCTGTTTGCATAAGGCAAAAAGGAAAGTTGTACGAACCGCAAACGTGAATATGGTCGTATTTAGGCCTTTAAATAGGAAATCACTGTTGTTGCCTAAATGATTCGTGCTGGTTTATTTTTAATCAAACGATGTTGTGCTGTGGGATTTCTACGTCTCGCCTTCACAAGGTCTTCAAATTTCGTATATTGTTAGTACTTTGTTTAATTGTGTGCTCTATAATTTTCTTGCTTCGGTCGAACTTTATGTTCGCGCCTTCAGCAATTCTGGACGAGCCCGGCTCTTTGACGCTTGGTGAAAATACACAAAGCTCGTCGTCTTCCTCATCCGGATCTGGAGTCGAAAAGATTTTGAAAGAGGCTTTAGAAGAAGACAAATCAAATCCTGTTAGGGATATTGAAGTTTCAAATGAAGACTTAAAATCGGTCGAGAACTCGAAACACCACTCACAAAAATCCAAAGACCAAACTCGTGTAATGAAAAAATCATATTTGGAAATAATTGATGAAACAAATCCATCACATTCGATTGATAAAGACAACAGTTACCCTGTACATAAGCTGAAAAAGTTTGCAGAGGATATGAATGAAAGACAAATAATATTTAACAGAGATGAATTTCCAAATAGACCCAGAAATGGTATTATAGTTGTTGTCCAAGTTCACAAACGACTGGAATACCTGGTACATTTATTATCATCGCTAGAGAAAGCCAAAGGTGTTGAAAACATTTTGCTAATTATAAGCTCTGATTGGTATTCTGACTCAATAATGGATGCTGTCAAGAAGATAAAATTCTGTCAGGTATATGTTAGTTGCTCTCTAGATTTAAAGTTGTGCTGGAATCAAGAAGCCAATGCAGCTGTTATATAGCCAACAGTGAATTGCGCCAGGGTGCTGCAACTGCAGATGTTATGTAGGTTAAAATGATAGCTGCTCAGAGTAATGCCAGCCTGCAGAGTATAGTTCCTATCAAAGATCTTCTGCAGATATAGTCATTTTATCCAGATGCAAAACCATCTTTTGCCCATCATTTATAGCAGTGATGTAGTGTCAAGGCATCTAGTTATGTGCTGCATGCCCTGTAAAATTTGGTCTAAATTTACTTTAGAACCATCTTTTTTAAAAAAGAAACTGTTGCTTTGAAGATTAATTGAAAATTCACTATGTCACACCCTTGGTCCACCCATTAGAGATTAAAGATCCACCTTAGTTTTTACTCTGAAGCTATTCATTAAACTCCCTACCCCTGTTTCTAAAAGTCACTTTATATTGAAATTGGTGGACGCTGGCAAAAAACCTTTGTTTGCAGAGCTTCTTGTTTCCAGGCATGCAAAATTCTGATTGCATTCTCTGATGAAAAACAGTTGTATTTTCCCTTTTTAGATTTAAGCTTTTGCTAAAAAATAAAGTGGATTGCTGTATCAACCAATAATCTATCTTGCTAATTGAAGATCGTTGCTATTTTTGACTGACAGAGTTTAGGATTGAGCTTTGAAAGGGAAGCCACTGATCTCAGCTTGCCTTGTGTTCTCTTGTTCTGTAAGCTAAGTCATGCAAGCTAAGTCAGGACACCCTATACCCTAGATGTATCTCGTTGCTTTTGAAGTGGATTTGAACAAGTGCATTGTGTATATTGTAGAGGAGCAAAAGATGGAATTATATATATATATACATGCTGTTTTCATCATTCTGACCTGAGTACAAAAACTGGAGGGAAGGGCACTCAAATAGGGATGGTACAGGGGTGTGCCTTGACAGAGTACCTGTTTAGTCCAGATATTGTTTACCAAATATTCATATATTCATAAACATTTAATCATTTATAGAAGATCTGGGATTGTTTCTTAGCCCAAAGATTGCACTCTTATCTGAACATGACAGGGGAGACAGGTAGATTATAAAAGAGTACACTTTCTCTAATGCAGTTATTTATTTGAGCTTATGTTTTATAAATTTATCTGCATGCTATAGGCCAGACCAATACCACCAGTAATTTATTCCGGGGACTAATAGCATAAATTCTCAACATCAGCACTTTTAAGAACAAGGTTGAAACAAGAGTACTAGATGCATTAAAAAGCTTGACCTCAACACAAGTTGCATACCCACTTCAACAACTCACCCTGTGCCACTACATGTATGGCATAAAGAAACTCTTTGTACATTCTGTGTGCGATTTTAAATATTTGTAGCAGAGGTAGACTGATCTCACAGGTGCATCCACCATACTCTGCAGATTGGTCTAAGTAGAAAAAACATTGCTACCTTACACTTTGCAAACTCTTCAGTCTGATTGCGCTCTTCAATCAATATTTTTTTTAAATATCTATATGATCCATAGTTCCTTAAAGGTATTTTATTGCTCAGAGGTCAAACAAATCAATGTAGCAGGAAACACAGGGTTTGAGCCAGTCTGGAGAGCATTTACTTTAGAACAGATATCTTTGTATATCCTGCAAGTATATCCTTGTAGTTATAAAAGAAATGTGTTTGCATGCTATTCGGTTAAGTTTGCATGCAGCCCACACAGATTAATATATTATACACAAGCACGATATCACTAAGAACACCACACCAGTTGCCTCAAATTTATATTAAAAAAAGTGTAATAAATTTCAAAATTACTTTAGATACATATTCACAGCATTTTCTGCAATGAAAACTTAGCAAAGTGCCACATTACAGCTTCATTAAGATAAAGACTTACATTTTAGGTTCTCCATGTCTTTTTTCCATTTGCTGAGCAATTACATACTGATAAATATCCTGGAACAGATCCAAATGATTGCCCAAGAGACATTTCTAGAGATGAGTAAGTATAATTTTAGATATTTTGTAGACCTTATTTGTATTTTTCATCTGTTCTTATTTTCATTGTAGTTCATTCCTAATTGAGTTTCTGATTTAAAAGAAAGGAAAAGAAGATAATGTTTTGTAAAGAATCAAAAATTGCTACATCTTGGCTGTTGAATTCTTGGAAATGTACATTGTTGTAAGGCCGAAGTGGGTGTCAAACTGTGGTACCTTATTATTTTGGTTCCATCATGCTGAGATTGTAAAAATGCTAAAGAAATAAAGCTGCACCAAGCCAACAGTAAAATTAGAGTTGTTTCATTACAGACTGGACCAGCTTATCAGCTGAGCAGACCTCCATTTGCCATGAAGTACTTTTGCTTCATCCCTCATGTTTTTACTTTTACATAGCCATAAACATTTTTGTAAGGGTAGTCATTAGCCAGGTCAGAGCGCTTTTGGAGTGCTGGCAAGGGAGATTGCCCATATAAAACAAAAAGACCTGGTAAAGTTGTTACTTGGAATAATTATTAACAAATATTTGTTTAGCTCAGAAACCCCAATTGGGTAATGGTTTATTTTACTCGTTCAGGGCCAGAGCTAAGAAATGTAACAACGCTGAATATCCTGACAAGTATGGTCATTACAGAGAAGCTAAATTTACCATGACAAAGCATCACTGGTGGTGGAAGGTAGGAATGTTTTTCAAAAAATTTTGAATTATCATGTTCTTAGTTCTTAATTAGTTCTTAAACCCCTAAAAATCCAAGTTGGAAATTATGTTGCATCCTGCAAATGACATCTTAATTTGATATAGTTTGTCGCTCTTGAAATAGTGACTGTAGCAAGGTGCTTTAAAGGGTATAACAGATATTAAAATTGCACTTTTAGCAATTTTGCAGCATACATATTCAGGTCCTTTTCAAGCTGAATTGGTTTAATTTATATATGTTGTCAGCCATAATAAATTTTTTTGAAATAGGATGAACTAGGCTAAGAAATAATTAATCTCTTGGCCATTCTCTGTTACTTTATAAGTGAAAGGTACAAATGGTTCCCATATGAGATCCAAATGTAAGGTAGTGTCTGGTAGGCAGGGCACTAACAACTTGGCCTTGGTGCATACAGGGACCACAGAAGCAGGGGGATGAGGGAGCTTTAGCCCCCCCCCCCAAGTAATTTTCAAAATGTACTGAAAACCATACAAAAATTGCCTTTCTCTTGGTTTTTCAGCATGTTTAGTCTCCTTTCCCAAAAATGTTTTAGCCCCATCAATCTGTAATATGCTCCTTGGTCCTTGGGTGCATTCATATATCTTGTAAACACAATGTTGAATGTTTGCATTCTATACCCAGCTTGTTAACACCTAGCTGTAGCCTTATTTTGTTGATTTTTTATGTAGGCAAATGCTGTTTTTGACAAGCTGTCAGCAACAAAAGATGCTAAAGGGCCAGTTGTGTTTCTTGAGGAGGACCACTTTGTTGCGCCAGACTTCTTCCACTCACTGACATTGCTCCATAAAATAAAGCAAAGGTTAGGATTAAATTTTTAAAATTTCTTGATAGTTTTTATCCAACTACAGGGCTTTCAGTGGGGGCGTACGATAGCACCCGAGTAAGCAGGCACGCATTAAATGTTTCATTTGGAAGCAATAAATCAGGCTCCCAGTGATAAATATTTCTCTTATAGAGAGCAATTTCTGGATGCTAACAATTCCGTGATCCATTGCTGAAATTGACCAATCCCTTGATAAACTCCTTCTGGAAATGGCAACTTCTTTTTGAGACTAGTATGCTGTTGCCAATCGGAGTACCTCTTGCAATTTCAAGATCAACTGAGAGTTTGTTGACATGATTTGGGCTAACCCATCTAGGTGGGCTGGTTTCGACAGGTGTGGTGGTTCTTGCAAGTGTTTACACAAAAACCTGATTGATCCCACTCAGATTTGTAAACGTTTTTTTTTCATTTTTTTTCAATAATAATGAACATCAGTTATCAATTTGATTTCTTTTCTGATCGCGAAATTACCCAAAGTTAACCAGATAACTCAAGTGGGCAAGCCCACTTCATGTAAGCAGGGCCTTAAAAGCTTGAGTGGAAGCTGAATGAGATAGGGACAGATGCAGAGTTTCTTAACGTCTATATGTACAGATCCTTAACAGCTACATGCATTATGTGAGCTATGAGTCAGAAATTGATGAAGAGTTTGAGACACTTGGCCTCTCTGAGGCAGAACCTGAACATTTTTAGCAAACAAGTATTTTGTTCAAATTGAATAAAGCATTCCAGTTTAAAAAAACTTCATTATTTTGTGTTATCGAATAAATTTGAACCGCGTGCCCCACACTAATCACGTAAAATTTTTGTCACGCATGTCAATTTCTGAACGTGAAAGCCCTGTAACTACTTGGTTTTAGGGAAGTGAGTAAGGCAACTTATAACTTATCTCTTTTCTGAAGAATTCATAGATTTTGAATTTGAGAGCTGATACTATCTCCCTGTTTGATATTAATAAACCTATTAGTCAAGTTATGCAAGGAAGATTAGGTAGAAATGGATATCCAGCAGTTTACTGCGTTCTTTGTTGGAATATAGATTTGATTGCATTTTACTGATTATTTTAGATTCTTGTGATGATATAGACTTGAGCATTTTTCAGTATTTCCCATATCAATGTGGAGTGGCCTGTTTTCAATTTTCTGTTTTCCAATACTCATGTTTTACTTTAAAGTGGCTAATGATGACATCATTACTTATTTTAGAAGTGAAAATTGTTGACCATATTATCTAAAAGAACGCCATTAAATTTTTAAAACTATTATAAATATTATCTTATTTGGTATGCCAGCATTGCATGATTATAAAACTATTAAAAAGCAAATACTTCTGTTAAAGCCAAGCATTTATTAATTAGTGATGGAAGATGCCATGGTAGTTGCGAAGTTCTGAATCTTGGAATGTATGTGAAAGTGGAAAACTATTTTTCCCTCAGCAAAAATCAGGTAAGACCAAATACCCCTGAAATTTGCATTCTAGTGTATCTTGATGTATTTTGTATCACAGGCCCCTTCACAAAGAGCACCTCACAAAGAGCGTCGTTGCATGTTGAAATGAGTGATCTTTTTTGGGCCACACCAGTAAAGCAATGTTTAGTTCCTAAAATGACCTTTTGAATAAAATACTCAGTAAAAATTCCTTTTGATTAATTGAAAGCTTACACCCTTTTTAGTGTGGAGAAAAAAATTATTCTTTTCACCTTGCTTGAAGAAAAATGCAGCTGCATAAAAAATAGCAGGATTGTTCCCCTAACTACAAAAAGTTAAGATTGTTAAGGTTACGGTAAACGTTTTGAACACGAAAATTGGTTTTTCCTGCCTAAAGGCCAAACGGCTCAAGGAATCTGGATAAACTATATATCATTTGATGCACAAGATTATGGCATATCTAGCTAGATAGAAATTATTTGCAAATAATGTTAAATGTTATTTTCCATGCGAATTTATTGGTCAAAAAGTGTACCACCTTCAAAAGCTATTATGTACCCTTGCGTTTGAGGTAACAAAATCTGACTTAGACCAGCAGGAAGTGCAGGTCCTAAGCTACCAAAGTGTGTCTCAGATTTTTTAAATTCCTCCTCTTCTTGAAACTATACCCTGTCAATTTGGGTATATAAAAGACGGACCAGAGAAAATAAAAAAATTTTGAGACACACTTTGTTTGCCCAACGTCTGCCCTGGCCGTGTGCAAATTTTCGAGCCATTCGATTGGTTCCTTGGGTACATAATAGCTTTTTCGTACCTTCATGTAGAGGAATTTCGAGTCCGGAGAAAACTGGATTTTACTGATCGCACTTGCAAGATACACTCGTAAGCCACAGTGTAATCCGGGTCAAGTCACTTAAAGATTTAAGATCAATAAGCCTGTTTAAATAAACAGGGGCGTACATTGGATATATGGATGTGCCATGCAATATTGTAAATGAGACATGCGACCACAACCGCATAGCAATGATAATCGGCTTAACAGGTCAAGAAATTTTCAGGCCTCAACTAAAAGTTTTGATAAAGAAATTATGGAAACCTTCGTTTACATGGGATTTTTTCCACTTTCAAAATTTCTGTTTGTTTCAAATTTGGTATCATTGTGTGCCTTGAAAGTTCGGCTACTTGAATGTGAAAAAATCGAAAAAATGATGTTTTCATCCAGAAAACGTTTACCGTAACCTTAATAGATTACATAGATTGGGTCCAAGAACTGACTTGGAAAGAATTTAAGGCAGTGTTGAAACACTTCCTCACACATCTTTATTTGATAGATAAGATTTTATTGTAGCTAATGCGAAGGCATAAAATTAAGAGCAAAGCAATAACATCCAGGCTGGAGAATGATTTATCACCATAACACAATTGCACGATATATGCTTTATTAAAGCAACATGTATAAGCAATTAAATGATTAAAAATATTAGCATACAAATGATACATATTTGGCATCCACTCATATTACATCAACTCAAATGTGTATCCCAGATTATGCTTCATATTTTTAATTTGAAGAAGTTTCTGTCATGCTGCTGGTGATCAAGTTTGTTCTTGTCCTAAGAGTCTTCTTGCTTTATTATGAGCACGAGTTTATCTTCATTGTAAGGTTGGCTAGATTTTTGACAAATGATGAACATCATTCCTGTTTTTTGTTCCCTTTGGTCAATAGTAATTGACTAGTCAATTGACTAGTAGGATCTGTTACTTTTTGTTACCTTTCATTGGTATAATGAATATTTTTCTTATTTTATTTGTCAGGTGGAAAACCTTAGAGAGTAAACTTTGTCTGTGTTAAGGTATATTGTTAAGAGTTTTTCCAAAATCAAAACTTTATGCAAGCTGCATCTAGCTAGAGTAGTGGCAAATTACCTCTAAATGATTTTCATGTTGCTCAAAATTATAGGTTAGTTTGACAGTATGGCGCTCATATGATCACAACATGGGAATGACTTTATATCAGGATGGATGGAGGAAGATTCAAGAATGCTCAGAGGTGTGAAATCTCTTTTTTTTCTTTTTTCGTAAGAAAATGTTACATGATATAAAATTTGAGACGAAACAATGTCAACCTTAGAGACATTCTGTTCTCCATCAGGTCTTGTGAGGAGCCAAAAGCAGGAACTTGACAAACTGAGCCACTTTCTAGGTGCTTGATTGAGCACCATCAAAAATCATCAATAACAAAATTTGGTTTTTCACATTCAACTTCAGGCCTTCCTGGAAATAAATTAGCACAAGTGTGGTATTTTGCACCCCTAGACTGTTTTAGGCGTGTGATAGAGTGCTATTGGTGTTTTGTTTTATTTCTACAAAGGTTTAATTACATAGTATATGGAGCCTTAAAAACCCCCAGTCTTAATTCATTTCTTCAGTCTTCACACAGATTTAACAATTAAGTAGATTTTCTCTTGATTCACAATGCTACTTAAATCTTCATACATTTTCTAATGAAATGTGCAACATTCTAGATCTTTTGTACATATGATGACTACAATTGGGACTGGACCTTGATGCATCTGAGTATATTTTGTCTGAAGAGGCCACTCAAAGTCTTATCAATTGATCTTCCACGAGTTTTCCATATTGGGGAATGGTATGTTCTGTTGCCAAGTTTTTTTCTTTATATTTTTGATAGATTAATGTGAGCCCTGATTCAACTTAAAGTCTGTGGTTCAATAATACTCCAAAAGCAAAATTAAACAAATTGCACTTAGAAATAATAATCATTAGGACTTTTGGATATCAAATCATCCAGTTTCTTTCAAGCAATTTGTATTTTTTAGCTAGGATAATCTGATAGATAATGTTTTCCATAAGAATTTTCAAATGGTAAAACCTCACTAGGAGAATTATTTGCAATGTATTTATTAATTTTCACAAAATCCTAACAAAGCCATAAAGCTATGAAGATGACCAAAATAAATAGGTTCTTAAATATGCATAATTGTCAGCCCCTTTAAGAGAATTTTTTTATATGTTTGTCCTTGTAAATGACTCTTTTTAGTCAGGCTATTTTTATCTGGCAGCAACATTGCTCTAAGATTAAGATATCATTTAGTAAATTTGTCTAACCTTTTTGTTTTCTTTGTGCAGAACATTGCTGTATTTTAATAATGTATTTCTTTCTGAAAAATATAGTTATTGGGAACCTCAGCCTGGGTATTTTGGCATTGTGTATCTCATTTGTTTAGCATTTTGGCATTTTAAGCTTTGTTGTTGATTTTGGGTGCTGTTTATCAAAGAACCGATGAATCAACTTGTTTTGATGTTCTTGTGGCCGTTTTTGTGACCTCAAGCAGCTGCTTTCACAATCTGCAAAGGCAGACCTTATTTCAAATCAAGTTACTGTATTGCGATGTTCATAATTGATCATATGTGAAATAATAAACGAGATGCCCCTAGATCTAGAGCCTTTTAAAAACTTTTACTTGTTATGCAGATTTTGTAGTGTTTTTGAAAATGGCAACCAAAGTTTTGAATTGGGAAATTTGTATCTTTAGTGGAATGCATCACCAAGGAGAATGCAACACAAAAGACATTGTCAGGAAGTACGAAGAATTAATTGAGGCAAATGAAAGTGCCTTTTTTGCAAAAAAATTTGTCATAGGAAATACTGAGGATGGAGGGGCACATGCTGGTGTGCAAAATGGAGGCTGGGGTGACAAAAGAGATCATTCTTTGTGTAATAGCTTTGTAAACAAAGGAAAAGAATACAGGATAATCCGGTTATAACGTACTTCAAGGGACCAGCGTATTAAGTATGTTATATCCAAAGTACGTTGTAACGAGGGTATGTTAAAATTGACTAAAACCAAGCACACCTTTTTCCGTGACTAAGCACACCAGTACGTTATATCCAAAAGTACGTAATAACCGAGTACGTTATAACGGGATTCTACTGTAGTGGAGCATGGTTTTCTCAAAATTCATTCAGTTTTTCTGATCCTTTGTACTTAGATTTAGAATTTTTGGACTTTTTGTGAAGCATGTTATGTGGTATGAATTTTGAACTAAATTATCTTTGGCAGATACGTTTTTATAGCAGTAGTTGGACCCAGATTAATATGTCAACTTACAGAGGCAATTTAAATTTCAAAACAAGAATTTATAGACTGATAAAAAACCAAATTATAATGAAGCAATATATACTTGTTAATGGTGGCAGGCATCAGTCACACATTCTTCATAAAATAAACAAATTATATACATATTTTGGGATAATAATTGAAGATCATGTTTATAGATAAAAGTAGTGATTTGTTAAACTTTTATTGCCAGAATGAAGTATTCACTATTTAAATTATGAATATTTTGTATCTCACAATGCCCATTTTGTGATCTACTGTTAGTATAATAGATGAACATTATTATTTAGTATTCATAAGGTTCAGTTTTCCACTAATTCATTACCAGAAGAATAAAATTACTTGACGTTTTGACATATGTCCACTGAAGTGGCTAATTGTAAACATCTCAGTATATACATCTTTTTGGTATGAAAATTCATAATTCAACAGTATCTCATGTTTTTCAATACAGTAAAGAATGCTCTTGTAAGCAATTTTATTACTTAATTTAATATTAAAATGAAAGAGATGGGAGAAATTACAACATTGGTTGCTTTTTCCTTTGACTTCTTTGATCTTTTATTGGATTTCTGGATTTTTCCTTGATACATTAAATACATTAAATTTTTTGTGTCAAACCATATTTTTAGATTCTTTCAGATGTCATGTGTCAAAGTATGCTGTGAAGTGTACACGAGCCACCTCATGGTTTTTAAAAACCACAAGACATTGGCCACATTTTTTGACAGCTTGATCTTTCATAAGACAGTCTCTGCAAACCAAATGATTACATGGTATTTTAAAAAAGTGTTTTTCTGTACTTGTAGTCCTACAAAGGCAGCATTTCCATGCTCTTTTATTGCTTTCTTGATCTGATGCAATCTTCAAGGAATATGGCCAAACAACTTTTTGTAAAGCACTTTCTAGGCTGTTTTTTAACAACTCCTCATGACTAGGTTTCCCATTAACTCTTTGTTCCTTTTCACTAAATTTTGAGGAGATGGAACACTCACTGTTTATACTGCTATCTTGCTCTGCAAGTTGCTTGTCAGACTGAATTTTATCAGTTGAATCTTTACCTTGATACTTGGATATCACTGACACACTGTCAAGCTCGCATTTAGATTTAGCACTATTTAGAAGACTTGAAACTCTTACTTTCTTTAATGAAACTTTATCAGACATTCCATAATTTGATATTCGTTTCAAATTTTTGATGTTTCCAGTGACATCAGAGGAAGGAATATCAACACCAGTTGTTTGTCTTTGAAACACCTCAGATTTTTTCTTGAGCATGAAACTGTCTAGACGATATTTCAATGCAGTATTGGGCACTGCTTTGTTTTCTTGGTTCAGTGGTACTCCAGTAAATGGATCCATTGCCATCCTACCATTTTTCTCGTCTTCCTTTGTGCATCTTTCAAGTGTTGATAAATCCACTGAATGTCCTGATGGTAACAATATTGGTAGAAGCATAATTTCAAATGTAATAGGGTCAAGAAATTCATCAGGAATTTCTGATTGTTTACCAGCACAAAATGAGTTATCACTTAATCTGTTAGAGAGGGTCTCCTTGGTAGGATACCCTATTCTTTTGCTGTTTTTATCAGATTCAAGGTCAGTTTTTTCACATTCCACTTTATGTCCACTGTCTTGAGCATAGTTTTTCTGCATTATTCTCTTGGAAATCTTTGTTATGTGACTCTTTGTTATATTTTTATTACTTCTTGAAGGTCTGCCCCAAACTTCAACATTTTTCAGAGCCACAGCTGTTGATGACTCAGTTTTAAAAACTCTTATAATCAAGTGGCTAACTGCTAGCAAAAAGGGTAGTGAAAAGAATACCAAAGTTGGTTTCCCACTGTTAAGATAATCATTTCCTTTACCAATGCAGCTTCTTGGATTTCTGAAGATGACGGTGTCAAAGCTATTTATCTTTGAATTGAACTTTCCAACCAAATGTAAAGAGGAGAGATTCGATTTTCTGACTTCCGCAAGAGAGAAATCTGGTTCATAACTAAGAGGAAAAGAGTCTGAGCTTGGAGAAATGTTTTCGGTTTCTTGCAATTTTGTTTGTGCGACTTTTTTGCAGTGAGCTTTAAGACTTGATTTTTCTATGCCAAGAACTGGTGGCTTTGCGTTGGCAACCGAAACGATGAATTCAGCGACTTTTTTCTCACCAGATTTGCAGTTTATTACGAGAGAATCCACATCAACAAGACAGGGAAACTGAATCACAACATCCACTGGAGGCTTCGTGAAATAATCTGCCATAAATCCATTTTTGGCCTTCGTCATCCCATTATGTTTTGAAAAACTACCGTCATTAGCTTCGGAAAATCTGGGGGTATGAAAGAAGGCATCTGAATTTGTTTTTTCAAGAAGATTTGATACTTCAAAGCCATCTGCAGAAACGACGTTTGTATATGCTGTAGTCCCGTAATCTTTATTTGCAAAGTCTATACATGAAGCCATTATTTGCAGGCCTTTGTGTTTATCTAGGCCATGTAACCTCTTTTAAGATAAAGCCTCGATTCGAAAATGGCGTAATTTGCAGGCTGCCTGTCCAAACAACAAAAAGTGTTCGGCGCAGACTAATTTTGAGAATAACATTTCAATTCTATGCTCCATTTATTGCGAATATGTAGATTAAAATTATTAACAACAGTTACTCAAAACCGAAAACCTTGAGATTTGTCGCTTAACAGAGTGCTTTTGAAATCAGGTCTTTCCAAGAAAAAAGTTTTTCATGGATCAAAGTAGCATTCAGTTTTCGCATCCCTTTTACGCTAGCAATGCTAACAAAAATGTTTAAATACAAAATTAAAGTGACAAATTATCAAAAAAATTTGGTGAATCATTTGTCTATTGATTCGGTAAGGAAATCTTTCAAAAGAAAGTCTGATTGGCCCTTGGCAAAGCCAGGTTGAGAGTCGATGAAGCTCTGGAATGACTGTGCAACGAAGTGCAGCCTTTCCGCTGTTTTGTCGTGCGATGTTTTTTCTAATTGAATCTCAAAAAGAAGTTTTTCATACTCTCTCTTTAGTTGTTGGATTTCATCAAGTTTTTCATTGATCTCTTCGTTATGGATCAAATTAAGTCTGCTTTTTTCAGCATCTGCCTTCTTTTCGGCTTCTTTCCTTGTTTCTTCAACCGCCCAATTCTTCTTTTCAATCCACTGGACTTCGAGTTGTTCCAAAGCAGCCTGTAACGATTCATGTCGATCAGGCAATATCTAACATTGAGAACTAAAGAAGACAAATATGTTTTGCTAGGCTTATTCATAGCCTTAGTTTTATCTATGACCATGACAACAAATCAAAACTCAGATTTTGGGATAGTTGGAGGGTCATGGTAGAAGATGGTGGTACCTGATGATGATTCATAGCTTATTTGAACCATGCCAGAACTTAGCTTTTGGATTTTTTCAAGAGCTTTGTGCGCAGCAAACTTTCAATAAGCGATGTACATTTTATCGCCTAAGAAAGGACTTTCAAGATTACATGAAGGTATGTTATCGCCAGGAAAGGAATAAAGATCCCTTTTCCAGTGCAAGAAGAAAACAAAATTACGCTAAATAGACCCTCGGTTGATGATTTGCTTTGCATTGTTTCTGCTAAAACCGCAAAATTCCCCCTTGTAATATCCATCGATAAAAACCTGATAAACATTATGTTGTATATTTCAGAGAATAAAACATAAAATCGTTATTTATTTAACATCGTGATTAAAGCCTTAAAACTAAGGCAATCAATAGTAGCCCCTTTGAATGGGGGATTTGTTCGAGGCATGCATGTTTCTGTAGCGCAGATGTTGAAGTCTGTTTAGCTAACCTAAACCCTTTGCTTGAAAGCCATTGGCAAAGTAAACTTAAGCCCAGCTTTGAAAAACCAATACCAATTTCCATTCAGTCCCTGCAAATTTTCTAGAAAGATCTCCGTTACTTTGTTACCACAATTGTTGAAATCTGAATCCTTGTAAGTCGCATTACATTCAGCAATAAAATATTTTGCAGTCACCTGTTTTTCTTTCTTGAATTCTTGGTACAATCGCTCCTCCTTTATCTTGTGTTGTTCGGTTAGGTCATTTAACATTTGTTTTGCTTTGTCTTGCTCTTCTTGCCTTGAAGTCATAATGGCCTTTTCCTTTTCTTTGTCACACTCTGCTTTCTTCTTTTTTAAAGCATTTCGCAGTCTTTCTTCGCCCTCGTTACGTTCCTGTTCTACTCGTTGATTTGCTATTTGCTTCATTACTTCTTTTACACGCTTGGCTTCTTCCTTAACAAGTCTCTCCTGCAAGATGAGTATGTCGTTACTTCAAAAGAGAGATTGATACTTGGGCGAATGAAATGTCAGCTTTTTCAGTTATCTTGTTTGATATTTTGCGTAGTCATTCTAAAAGGTCGGACATATTACAGCGATAGTTTGGTCATACATTATAATCCCATTATAACGGTTGCAATCTACTTGTTTATAACGTACTTTCGGTTGCGTACTTTTCCATCGGCCCTACTAAACAAATTCCATCGGATACAATTTTCTTTGTTTAAAATTTAATGTATTGCGTCACTTATTCATCATGAGGATAAATATGAAGAATATGCAAATGACACTGATCCAGTTTCTTCGACTAGTGAAGGGGCAAATGCCGTTAGAGTTCTACCGCGATTTTTCGAGTTTTCAGATTTGCCTAAGGCCAATGAAACAATGAAGATGAAGAGCAAAATATTTTGATGAAGAACAAAATTCATAAACGCGTTACAGACTTCTTCGAACCATGTAACCTATTCAAATTTAGTTGAAACTGGTTTATAAACAGCTTCCTTGTTTAGAACTGAGCTTTTAGACAATTTCTCTTAACCCCGGTTACAACGTAATTTGAATATAAAGAGTTGAACCCGCTCATCCATACTTTATAACTGGATTCTATTGTAGTATTCTTCAAATTTTTGTCACTGTTCTTGAGCCCAAAACACAAAGGTAACACAGGGTAACAGGGTAACACAAAAGGGATAATGCCTCTGCGAAATACATCTGACCCCATCTGACGAAATACATCTGAAAATTTGATTTCACCAGTGCAAAGTAATGATCCTGATGTCGGGATTAATTGGTTCACAAAAAGCTGCCTTGATGGAGTTGTCATTATCATTGTCGTAGATTTTTTGGCACAATCGGTGGATCAATTCTCAAATAAATGATAGTTTTTAGAGACTGACAGTTATGTATGTTCAAATTTTTATGTTGTTATTGCAGTTAAACGAAGAAATTTAAAGACAATATAGTTAAACAGACTACAGTTAAACGAAACTTTTTGCCTAAAAATATCTTTGGTGTTTGATTTCCCCTGAATGTAGTTTTAAGTAGTTACTTATTTCAGGATGTGGACACCACTAAATGTTTTGATAAGCACACCACTTTTAAACTTATCATCAAAATTAGTTTTACCTGCTCTTTTTTTGCTTCTGCCATTGCTTCCCTTAAATCTTCATGTGCCTTTTCTCTTGCCTCAGATAGCAAGGCTTCCTTTTCTTCCTTAGCTTTTTTCAAAAGATCATCTCTCAACTTCGAAATTTCTTCATTAAAAATATCTCTTTGGCTTGCGCTATTTTTTTGAAATATTTTGTGACCCAGTTCTAGAAAAAAATTATCAATTGAATTAGCACTATTTATCACTTACAGCATATTTCTTTCTTGCTAGTTTCTAAAAAAGCATCTGTGTAGCAGAGTCTGTGGTATGCAGATATATCAATTTCTAAAACAAAGCAAAAGAAACCCTAGATATAATTCATCTTTTTTGAATTTTTGCATACATTTTTTATTAAAGGAATTTAAATATATCTTTTATTAACAGAATAAAGAAAATATCCTACAGTTCTATAGTTTTCATCTACAATCTTGGCAAAAAATGGCTGAGACTTTTGAATGAAAATGGATTTGGGTGGTTTATCTTTATATTATTCCCTTCCCCTAATGTTAATGTTGGGTAAGATGATTATAGTGCAACTGGGGATGAATGCAGGCTACACTTTTCTCATGACACCACTGACTGGGGTAGGGGAACAGGGGTAGGGTGATTTACAACTAGCTTGATTTTCTGTGAGTGTCTCAGCATTATCTGCCAGATTGTAGGTATTTTGGGACTAGAATAAAGGTATTTAAAAATTCTTAGCGTTCTGGGTAACCCCTGATCTTTGTTCTAGACATACTAAAAATATCTTATACTGTCCCCCTTCCTGGGCCCTACGTCAACTATTGCCTATTGCTAAATGCAATTGACATTTTATCACCAACCACTTACTTTTTAGCTTCTATAAGCTTTCTAGCTTAATTTTGCTTCACACCATAAGTCATATGTAGTTTTAAATTTGAAAACTGTTCAATGGAGATTGTTGGTTAATCAAGACCTGAAACACCAGCTGTATTGAGAACTTCGATATTAAATATTTATGCTGATTTGCGTCGGAAAATTTCAGCGATTGTTACCTTAATAGCTCTTGATTAAGTTTAAATGTATGTTTCCCCATTAAATTGATCTAAGTGAATGCAAATCATAGCAAATCACAGTAATTAATGTTATGGAAATCAGGTCCGTTTCTTTCCTCTATATATGCTAACAAGCTTGAAATTTCACCAAAGATTGACAAGGCATAAGGTTTGAATTTACCTAGAATATCCGTATGCGTCGCCCTTTGAGTCTTTGCTATCTTAGCATCATCTAATGACTTTGGTAAGACTGATTTTTCGTGAGTAGCCGTGTATGCAGCCATGTTGCTTCCTATTTTTCTTCTGGGAAAGCTGAAATTGCTTAGCAACTTATCGACTCTAGCCTCTGCCTCATTTTCCGATGAATACGAGATTATTTAAATGGTTCTGACTTCGCGCCAAAATTTTTTTCGGATGTTGTCACATTCTTTTAGGTCCTAGCTGCTTTGTTAGTGGCTGAACTGTTGTTCTGGTTTGCTGTTGAATTACAGGTATATTCATACTTTTTGCCTAACTGTTTTCGGTGGTAGTTGAGTAGAATATGAAGGAGGATCTGAAGAGCAAGGACCAGTATGCAGGGCTATGGGCCTAGCGCAGAGCCTAGCAGTTCTCGTGCGCCCAAGGGCAGATAAAATGTGTGCAATGCAGAGACCCTGTTCAGTTTTGGTTAAAATGTGCGCAGCAAACTTCAATAAGCGATGTACATTTTATCGCCTAAGAAAGGCACCTGCAGATCATTTTTTGCCTGTATTGCAGAACGTTCATACCTGAATTTCTTTTCGTAGTATTGATCTCCAAAGCTCCAAAAAACTCTTGATGCTCCAACAAATGTATTATTGCTTGCTAATATTCATGAATTTTTTCACTGAATCAAGTGGCACATCACATTTGCTCTTATTAGTAATTCACCTCCAAGAGAGATTAAAATCTCGAATTAGTTAAGAGGTCTAAATTTTTGTGCATTTCCCTCCAGTTTGTACAAACACAAAAACATAGCTTAATTTGTTTTGCACTTTGCATACTCCTTTTGGTTGCTGTGAATTTTTGAACAAGTATTTTCTAGCTCACCCACTTCGTCCGTTTTTTGGATTTAGGATGACTTTTTCGGTTTTTTCATTCAATGGAGGAGTGAAAATCAATTTGTAGAATCAAATAGTGTTGGAATTTCTAGATAGTCCGGAGGTTGGGGTGTAAAAAGTTAGAAGAAAGGTCCATTGGATATTCGATGTAACATAATCAGTTTTGTACTAAGTAACTTTTCTTGCTCTACAGGTTTTCATTCTGATTTGGTTTAAACTGTTACCAAATAGTTAAAAATTGTACTTTAATCAGAAACTTAAATTGATGTTTGCCCTCAACTTATGTTTTTTATATTCTTCAATCGCAGCATCCTTATTAAAAAAAATTATTGCATGAAAATTGTAAATTTTTTTTTTTGGGGGGGGGGGGACAAATGAGTGAATGTCTAGTAATCAGGTAGGCAAGTCCCATTATTGAATCAAAGAGCAGCTGCATAGCAATGATTAAGTTCAGTGGGTATGTTCCTTCATTCCTAGACAGAAGGACACCTCATTTCTTATAAGTGTTTCTTTTGTGTGTGAGACCGAACATATATGCATTTTTGGTGTGATTTGAACAGACCTTGTGTGTAAACATGCCACACTCTGCAGACTGGTACAAGGCAATGTGTTGATCCTATACCCTGGACTTTTTCGTAGCCCAACCTCTAGAATGTTTATCAAGCTTAGCTATTCAATTTTTAAAAGGCCTTATCTCCACTTGAAAGGAATTTTTTCCATAAGCAAGTGCATATCTCTTAGTGTCTTTTGTTCTAAGCTCAAAACTTACTTCTTTGAAAATAATTATTGAAAGTGTATTATAGACAGTCATAATTTACACATACAGTTTCTGAAATTATTATCTTAAAAGGGGGTGCTCTCTCCTTGATTAGCTTTGCTACTGAGAGAGTTCCTCCTTAAGAATTCCCCTTCATGCAAACCCTCTAGTGTGGTGTCAAATCTTTGTTATATTTTATGTTTATTGTCTCATGTATTTATTATAATTGTTGTAAGTAGTTTAATATTAGAGTATCTGTATGTAGTGGAATTTAAAATGAATGAATGAACTGATGAAATGAATTTAAAATGAATGAACTGATGAACTGAACATATTGTTGCCCCTCGCTCCTCAGCCACTACACAATCTTCTGTTGCATACAAGAAACTTTGATATTTCTGTCGATTTAAAGTGCTCTTCACCATGCTTTTGAAGCTTCTTTCTTTATTTTCCAGCTGTATTTTGTGCCATGTGACATGAAAATTCCACTGGAAAAAATCCTCCATACAAACAGTTGCTACTATAACAGGTGACTTGTGCTATAAAATAATTGCAGACATCATGTAAAAATTTCAAGAGATTCATCAGTGATGTTCTCTGTATGGCCTTAACCTTATAAATGTAGGCATTGCTGACCTCCTCATTTCACACCCTTCAGCAATACATAATCAGAAATACCTAACAACTTCTGCCTCAATAAAGAATTGCAAATATTTGAACAACAATAGATCAAACAGTTGACGTTTTGCAAATCTATAAACTTGCCTTTTAACAAAGGATGGACATTGATAAAAGTCATATTTTGTCAAAAAGGAAACTTTATCTACAAACCTGCATTTGTTTAAACCTATCTGACATTGAAGAAATTCTGCTTAACTTCTGTGCAATATTTGACACTTAGCATATCACTTCTTTGCATACTTGTAGCCCTTTACCCCCAAAATTCCCCTCTAAAATGTTGCAATTTTGCCAAATAAATAACCTCGCCTGCCCATCTGGATGAATATAAAATGTTGTTATATGATCATTTAGAATCATTCCTGCTTAATTTTCATGAAATAATTCAACCTCAGAATCTGACCTTTTTCTAAGCAAATAGCCCTGCTTTTTTCAAAAATCTTCATCCATAAAAGGTTTTAATTTTGACAAATGCATACCCTTCCCTGCCCACCTGCATGCCCATATAGTTATTTATTGAAAATTTAAAATCATTCCTATGCAAGAATTTCAACATCAGACTCCAACATTGTTACAAGCCTCTTGCAAAAACTTTTTTAAGAAATATCATCAACCCTAAAAGGTTCCAATTTCACAATTAAATCCCCTTGGCTGCCCACCTACATGTATATAAAGCTGTTTCTGGATAATTTAAAATAATTCCTGCTTCATTTGACGCAATAATTTCAACAAGAGAATCTGACTTTTTTCTTAGTCTATAGCCTTGCTGTTTCAAAAAATCTTCAACCTTAAAAAGTTCCACCTTTTTACAAATAAATTGCCTTCCCTGCCGCCTCCTATGCGTATATAGTTGTTTCTGGTTCATTTAAAATCACTCCTGCTTAATTTCATGTAATTAATTCAACCAGAGAATTTGACATTTTTCCAAGCCTATAGCCTTGCTTTTTTCGAAAACTCTTCGGCCGTAAAAAGTTACATTTTTTTAAGTTCCATTTTTTTACAAATAAATAGCCTTGCCTGCCCCCTTCTATGCATATATAGTTGTTTCTGGATCATTTAAAACCATTCTGCTTAATTTCATGGAATAATTTCAACCAGAGAATTTGACATTTTTGTAAGGTTATAGCCTTGCTTTTTTCAAAAAATCTTCGGCCCTAAAAAGTTCCATTTTTTTTACAAATAAATAGATTTGCCTGCCCCCTTCTATGCATATATAGTTGTTTCTGGATCATTTAAAACCATTCTGCTTAATTTCATGGAATAATTTCAACCTGAGAATTTGGCATTTTTGTAAGGTTATAGCCTTGCTTTTTTCAAAAAATCTTCGGCCCTAAGAAGTTCCATTTTTTTTACAAATAAATAGCGTTGCCTGCCCCCTTCTATGCATATATAGTTGTTTCTGGATCATTTAAAACCATTCTGCTTAATTTCATGTAATTAATTAATCCTGAGAATTTGACATTTTTCCAAGCTTATAGTCTTGCTTTTTCTAAAAATCTTCAACCCTCAAAAGTTCCATTTTTTTACAAATAAATAGCCTTGCCTGCCCCCTTCTATGCATATATAGTTGTTTCTGGATCATTTAAAACCATTCTGCTTAATTTCATGCAATAATTTCAACCGAGAATTTGACATTTTTGTAAGGTTATAGCCTTGCTTTTTTCGAAAAATCTTCGGACCTAAAAAGTTCCATTTTTTTACAAATAAATAGCCTTGCCTGCCCCCTTCTATGCATATATAGTTGTTTCTGGATCATTTTAAACCATTCTGCTTAATTTCATGCAATAATTTCAACCAGAGAATTTGACATTTTTGTAAGGTTATAGCCTTGCTTTTTTCGAAAAATCTTCGGCCCTAAAAAGTTCCATTTTTTTACAAATAAATAGCCTTGCCTGCCCCCTTCTATGCATATATAGTTGTTTCTGGATCATTTTAAACCATTCTGCTTAATTTCATGCAATAATTTCAACCAGAGAATTTGACATTTTTGTAAGGTTATAGCCTTGCTTTTTTCGAAAAATCTTCGGCCCTAAAAAGTTCCATTTTTTTACAAATAAATAGCCTTGCCTGCCCCCTTCTATGCATATATAGTTGTTTCTGGATCATTTAAAACCATTCTGCTTAATTTCATGCAATAATTTCAACAGAGAATTTGACATTTTTGTAAGGTTATAGCCTTGCTTTTTTTGAAAATCTTCGGCCCTAAAAAGTTCCATTTTTTTACAAATAAATAGCCTTGCCTGCCCCCTTCTATGCATATAAAGTTGTTTCTGGTCATTTAAAACCATTCTGCTTAATTTCATGCAATAATTTCAACCAGAGAATTTGACATTTTTGTAAGGTTATAGCCTTGCTTTTTTCGAAAAATCTTCGGCCCTAAAAAGTTCCATTTTTTTTACAAATAAATAGCCTTGCCTGCCCCCTTCTATGCATATAAAGTTGTTTCTGGATCATTTAAAACCATTCTGCTTAATTTCATGCAATAATTTCAACCAGAGAATTTGACATTTTTGTAAGGTTATAGCCTTGCTTTTTTCGAAAAATCTTCGGCCCTAAAAAGTTCATTTTTTTACAAATAAATAGCCTTGCCTGCCCCCTTCTATGCATATATTGTTGTTTCCTGGATCATTTAAAACCATTCTGCTTAATTTATGCAATAATTTCAACCAGAGAATTTGACATTTTTTTAAGGTTATAGCCTTGCTTTTTTCGAAAATTCTTCGGCCCTGAAAGTTCCATTTTTACAAATAAGAACCCTTTCCTGCCCCCTTCTATGCGTATATAGTTGTTTCTGGATCATTTAAAAACCATTCTGCTTAATTTCATGCAATAATTTCAACCAGAGAATTTGACATTTTTGTAAGGTTATAGCCTTGCTTTTTTCGAAAAATCTTCGGCCCTAAAAAGTTCCATTTTTTTACAAATAAATAGCCTTGCCTGCCCCCTTCTATGCATATAAAGTTGTTTCTGGATCATTTAATACCATTCTGCTTAATTTCATGCAATAATTTCAACCAGAGAATTTGACATTTTTGAGAGATTAAAGCCTTGCTTTTCTCGAAAAATCTTCGGCCCTAAAAAGTTCCTTTTTCTTTACAAATAAATAGCCTTGCCTGCCCCCTTCTATGCATATAAAGTTGTTTCTGGATCATTTAAAACCATTCTGCTTAATTTCATGCAATAATTTCAACCAGAGAATTTGACATTTTTGTAAGGTTATAGCCTTGCTTTTTTCGAAAAATCTTCGGCCCTAAAAGTTCCATTTTTTTACAAATAAATAGCCTTGTCTGCCCCCTTCTATGCATATATTGTTGTTTCTGGATCATTTAAAACCATTCTGCTTAATTTATGCAATAATTTCAACCAGAGAATTTGACATTTTTTTAAGGTTATAGCCTTGCTTTTTTCGAAAATTCTTCGGCCCTGAAAAGTTCCATTTTTCACAAATAAGAACCCTTTCCTGCCCCCTTCTATGCGTATATAGTTGTTTCTGGATCATTTAAAACCATTCTGCTTAATTTCATGCAATAATTTCAACCAGAGAATTTGACATTTTTGTAAGGTTATAGCCTTGCTTTTTTCGAAAAATCTTCGGCCCTAAAAAGTTCCATTTTTTTTACAAATAAATAGCCTTGCCTGCCCCCTTCTATGCATATAAAGTTGTTTCTGGATCATTTAATACCATTCTGCTTAATTTCATGCAATAATTTCAACCAGAGAATTTGACATTTTTGTAAGCTTATAGCCTTGCTTTTTTCGAAAAATCTTCGGCCCTAAAAAGTTTCATTTTTTTACAAATAAATAGCCTTGCCTGCCCCCTTCTATGCATATATTGTTGTTTCTTGATCATTTAAAACCATTCTGCTTAATTTCATGCAATAATTTCAACCAGAGAATTTGACATTTTTGTAAGGTTATAGCCTTGCTTTTTTCGAAAAATCTTCGGCCCTAAAAAGTTCCATTTTTTTTACAAATAAATAGCCTTGCCTGCCCCCTTTTTTGCATATATAGTTGTTTCTGGATCATTTAAAACCATTCTGGTTAATTTCATGCAATAATTTCAACCAGAGAATTTGACATTTTTTTAAGGTTTTAGCCTTGCTTTTTTTGAAAATTCTTCGGCCCTAAAAAGTTCCAATTTTTTTTCGAATAAATAGCCTTCCCTTCCCCCTTTTTTGCATATAAAGTTGTTTCTGGTTCATTTAAAACCATTCTGCTTAATTTCATGCAATAATTTCAACCAGAGAATTTGATACTTTTGTAAGGTTATAGCCTTGCTTTTTTCGAAAAAATCTTCGGCCCTAAAAGCTTTCATTTTTTTTACAAATATAATAGCCTTGCCTGCCCCCTTCTGCATATATGTTGTTTTGGAATCATTTAAACATTCTGCTTAATTATGCAATATTTCAACCAGAGAATTTGACAATTTTTGAGAGATTAATAGCCTTGCTTTTTCGAAAAATCTTCGGCCACTAAAAGGGTTCCTTTTTCTTACAAATGAAATACCCTTTCTGCCCTTTCTATGCATAAAGAGTTGTTTTCTGCATCATTTTAAAACCATTCTTGCTTAATTTCATTTGCAACTAATATTCAACCAGAGAATTTGACATTTTTTGTAAGGTTATAAGCCTTGCTTTTTTCGAAAAATTCTTCGGCCCTAAAAGTTCCATTTTTTACAAATAAATAGCCTTGTCTGCCCCCTTCCTATGCATAATTTGATTGTTTCTGATCATTTAAATACCATTCTGCTTAATTTATCCAATAATTTCCAAACACAGAGAATTTGACATTTTTTAAGGTCTAAAGCCTTGCTTTTGTTCGAAATCTTCGGCCCTGAAAAGTTCCTTTTTCCTTAACAATAAAACCCTTCCTAGCCCCTTCTATGGCATATAGTTGTTTCTGGATCATTTAAAACCATTCGCTTAATTTCATGCAATAATTTCAACCAGAGAATTGAAATTTTGTAGGTTATAGCTTGCTTTTTTCGAAAAAATCTTCGGCCTTT